TTTTTTTTTTTTTTTTTTTTTTTTTGGGTCCGTTAAATTTAAGTTTTCTTCGCACTATGGCTTTATATTGCAGGCAGAATCCTTAGGAAAGAAATATGAAGAGAAGTACAAGCAAGTGGCTGAAATAGCATCTAAGTTAACCATTGAAGAAGCAAAATATCGTGATGTTCAAGTAAAAATTCACCTCTTAAAACTGTACTTTGATTTTGTACCTGAATTCATCTGCTTCTTCTCCAACCTTTTTATTGCATCTACTAGAGCTGGCTGGTTAATCGTATCGTGGCTGTCAATATTCAGTGGTTAATCAGAAAGTTTCTTTATCTTGATTCATTATCCTTATCCAGTTATCTCTTTTTCTTTTTCTTGGTATACTGGAAGTTGCTAGTATTCATCATTGATACTAATCGTTTAATTGATGAAAAATGAGAATTTGAATGCAGTATATTATTGGTAGTTAATAGAATAGCTGCAGTGGATCACTTACCATATTCATAAACCACTGTTTGTCCTATTTAAAAGTAAATTACAGTTCTTTTTTAAATTATTCTCATTCTTAAAGTAAACAACTAAAAAAACAAGTCAAAGAAGGCCACTTTATTTTGTTTTCAAGTTCCTTTATTTATCAATTCTTGATATAAGGATATTTTTTTACCTCATATTATTTCATTCATTTGCGTGTCTATGTTAGTGTATATGTGATTTTGCGCAAAAAAGGGAAGTACATATGATGTATTTAAATGGACTTAATACAAAAAGTTAGCGCATACAATCAATCAATATTATTCATTTATAGGCAAGTTAACCGAACTTAATTAAATACACAAATTTCATGAAGTTTGAGTTTACAAAATGCAACTTTTTTTAGGGAGAGTTTATTGGGTGCACGTGCATCTAATCAATGAAAGAAAATCATAAAAGTTTTACATTGCTTGATAACCAGAAAAGATGCAGGCTGGGGAAAATGATCATTTTAAGCCACATGGCCATATGCTTACCCTTCAGGAAACAAATCTTGACCTTAGCCGCATTTGAGTTTTGTTGTTTCATTTGTGGTTTTACATTCCCCTATTATTTGACATTCTTCCAGGAAAGGAAGACAGAGTTGCATCAAGCAATTATTAATATAGAACAAGGAGGAAGTGCTGATGGTATCCTCCAGGTCTGATTTTTCTAGATAGCTGCGTGCTTCAGTTTGCCAACGGCTATCCTGTGCAGTTGTCCGATACTGATTCTTTTCTGCTTCTTCAGGTCCGAGCTGATCGAATACAATCTGATATTGAGGAGCTCATAAAGGCTTTAACTGAACGTTGTAAGAAACATGGATTTGATGTTAAATCGGCTGCTATAATCGAGCTTCCAGTAGGTACTAGCCTCACATTAGACTGGGATTTGTACTTTTGCATCTTCTATCTAGATTCCTTTTGGATGTGCTTTCAATATTTCTTTTAATCATATCACTTCCTTTCAAGGATCTTCTCTTTATTTATTTTTTATTTTTTAAAAAAATTGACTACGAAATGTTGTACCAGTACAGATTGTACATCATTTGTGGCATGATATGATCCGTTCACGTCTGAAGTGACTTGATGTATCTGGTTTCCATTAATGACATTTTTCATGATGGATTTGTTAGGTTGGCAACCTGGAATTCCGGATGATGCAGCTATTTGGGATGAAGAATGGGATAAATTTGAAGATGAAGGTATAAAAGTGGTTCTTGACAAGTTATTTGCTTCTCTGCACTTGCAATGTTGCAGTTTTTGGTCTCAATTCATTGCCGGCATAATTTGACTGGTAATTTGATGGAAATACTTCATATGTTTTGTTGATATCAGTTAATTAATATACCTTTCAGGATTTTCCAATGATCTTAACTTCGATACAAAAGGTGTTTCTGCCTCAAAACCAAAAATGTCAGAAAGTCAGGGTGAAAAGGGTCTAGCAGATTATAATTCGACTCCTGATTCATCGTCAAATGCCAATGAAAAAACAGGGAACTCCTTGAGTACCATCAATCATGGCCTTGAGAGTGATTCTGTGTATAGTCACAGTGAAGATGAATTAGCTAAAAGTCCATATGGCAGCCCTGCTGCAAAGACATCTCTCGAAAGCCCTTCTCATGAATTTTCAGATGCAGGTTATGAAAAGAGTCCGGAAGCATATAGGTAATAACGAGCTCATATTTTTTTATACTTGTAACTTCATGCAGCTCTTTCATTCATTGGTCTTATTTATTTTATGGTTCTATGTTTTTTATTATGGCCTCAGAAGTTTTAATGAGTCCGCTTGGGGCGCATTTGACAATAATGATGATGTGGACTCAGTTTGGGGAATAAAACCAGTTAATACCAAGGTGAGCTTGAAAATTAGATTTTTTATGTTGCCTTTCTGGGTTTGGTAGATCTAGAGTTCTATTTGGGTTTATTATAGAAAACTATTTTTGTCAAAAGAAAACGATCTGAGTGTAATCATTAAAGATTTTTTCTCTCTTGCTTTTGAAAGTACTGTGGATATAGTATTTTTGTTTCTGTTTACAGTTTGTTTCATATATTAAAATATTTCACTGATTAACATTATGAAAACTTAAAACATCATTCAACGATTTATAGAGAGAGTCTTCTTTTTTAAGCGTGTTAGAAGGATAAATAGCAAAAATTGTTTCATTGGCTATAATTTTCCAGAGGAGACCTCTTGAAGCTTGAATGCTTAAGTAGAGAGAGAGAGAGAGAGAGAGAGAGAGAGACGGAGAGAATATCTTAAAATTTGTTCATGAACATGCTCTTGGTCTTTTCATGTTCCCATCTGTTCTCCGAGAATTGCATGCATGCCCTTGTATTTCATTTTAGTAAAAGCAATGATGTGGAACATGGTATGAATTAGAAGTAGTTCAATTTTTTTCATTTTAAAAGGTAAATTGTGGTAGGATGTGCCTACTGGTCCTCCCCTTCCAAAATTAAGGGTGCTGTGGGCACCGAAGTATAGCCATGTTAGATCTGTTTTTAGGACTCATTCTGCATCCTGGGTGGTAATTTCTAAGATGATGGAATATTGTTCAAAATAGACAGTTATCTGATAAGTTATGTTGCTGAAGAATTTTAGATGTTTAATCCTGGTAGATGAACTTTTGATCAATAGTTGATTGGTAGATAGTCATTGAAAATAACTCGAGTGTTAATTGTACTTTCCTCCATCTAGTCGGGATGAGATTGCCAGTTTGGCTTTAAAAAATTTATAATGGGGAACGTACTGATTTAATTGTAAAGGTTACATGCAGAAGAGTCATTGTGACGGATGCTTTTAACCTGCCGAGTTCCTGGGTTGCTGATTTTACACGTAGTTCTGTTATTGCTCATTTGAGATCATGGTTGTCCATGATGTTCTCTCCAATTCCAGTGTCAAGTTGATTGCATATGGGATTTCAGCCAAGCTACAAAACACTTACTTCTCTCTTTTTATTTGATGCGATCACACAGGAGCCAGACTCTGAAAAACACAGAGATTTCTTTGGAAACAGTGATTTTGATACTAGCTCCGTCAAAACTGGATCCCCGAATGCAGATAGCTTCTTTCAGAGAAAAAGCCCATTTTTTGATGATTCTGTCCCTCCCACTCCCCTCTCTAGATTCGGCAACTCTTCCCCTCGTTACAGCGATGTGGGGGATCACTTCTTTGACCATTCCTCCAGGTTTGATTCTTTCAGCATGCAGGATAGCAGCTTTTCTCCGCAACGTGAGAAGTTCACGAGGTTCGATTCAATAAGCAGTTCTCGAGATTTTGGCCATAATCAAGAGAAGTTCTCAAGGTTTGATTCTATGAGTAGTAGCATGGACTTCGGCCAGAGTAGCCAGAGGCACGCCAGGTTTGACTCCATTGACAGCTCCAGAGATTTCGGCCACGGCCATGGCGCCTTCTCTTTTGATGATACAGATCCATTTGGTACCTCTGGCCCGTTTAAAGTCTCATCAGAGAGTCAAAGTCCGAAGAAAAGCTCCGACAATTGGAGAGCTTTTTAAGCATCAGAGATCCTGTTTGAGTTTACATTTGAATCGACTCTCTTGTTTTCCCCCACTTTGACTTGTTCATTATAATGAGCCGTGTGCCATTTTATCTGCTTTTATGGCTTGGAAGAACATGAGCTGGATGGTCATATTTTTGTATGTTGTGGTGGTGGTTTATGTATTTATTTCAGACATTGTCTATGCTGATGACATGCTTTGAAAAAGAAAACACGCTTCTCTTGGTTCTCTTTTTGGGGGCAAGTTAGATACAAGATCGCGCATGCATTTGCACGCCCACAAAATGTTGTTGTTGTTGTAAACAGAGCCAAATTGGCGAAATATTCCTTGCATTTGTTATGAAAGACACAATATTTTGAAGATGTAACAAGCAAAGCAACTCTGAAATTCTTTCAAATCCATTTCTGCTCCCAACTCTAAAGAACAAATTGAGTTATTTGTTATCCAATCGCTCTGATACTTTCTCAATTACGCCATGTCAGAAGCACAACAACCGTGTAAATTTGTTTTGTAAAAAAGTGAAATATAAATAACCATCGCCTGCCTCAGGTAGAGATCAATACAATGGCATAGTGCACCAAAAATGTAAATTTGCGTTAGAATTAGAGTTTGGATGACGTAGAGATCGATAACCAGCGCCTTTAAAGTTGGGGATAATTGCAATACTTCCATCCATGGGCCATTATCCGAGCCCCATTTTGGGCACTATTTGGACCTCAATTGGCTGAAGGCCTGTAACTGGGAAGACTGCAATTTAGACTCGGGCCTGTACTTCTTGAGTCAAGCCCATAGATCCGTCAAGGAGACCGCCATTTTCTTGCTTCGTTTTGTTGTCATTTCAGATTAGCAAATGTTTGGAGAAGCTCTGGAGGAGATCGGAGAGAGGTGAAAATCAGGACTTGAATCGGACCAAGCGTAAACGACGATGAAATCCAACGCGTGGGTTCTATTGCTAATGGTGATCTACTTCGGTGTTGTTAATTGCATTGATGACAAATGCGCCGCTTGCAATGCCGTTGCCGTAAGTTCTTGTTCTTAACAATTCTCTGTTCCCCTTTGGACAATTTTTGTTGCTGTTTTTTTTTTCTTTTTTGTTTGGTCTCCGAATCGTAAAAGTCCTTCATCGTTTTGCTTATTTTTATGTGACGCGTGCCAATCTGATCACTGTCTTTTACTGTTTTTGGATTGGCTTTTAACTTTCTAGTCATCCTTCTCTGTTGCGTTGTCTTAAAGTTTGGTTTCAACTTAGTTGTATGTGTTCCTTTTCTTTGGTGGATAACTTCATTTTCTTATTGGATGTTTAAGTAATTTCTCTTGCTAATGCTGAATTGATCGTAATCCCGCTTAGCATCGCTAATGCTAACGAGTAGATATACGAAAGGGGACCTAACTTCTGTAATTATTGTTCGCAGGAAGAGATAGAACGTGGACTTTCCAATGTAAGGCGATCTTCCTTTCTATAGAAAAATTCAACCACAGTTTTAGACGGTTTCTAAGTAATTACATGTTTAACTAGGAAAAACCGAGGAATCATTTAGATATGAGACATCGGTTGGATTCTAAAGGTCAGCGTAAGGGGAAGGTGATTGACTACAGGTAAAACACCAACCTCCCAATTTTCAGGCTGCTCTTTTTCCCTTGGCACGTTTAGAACATTTCTTATTAATATGTAACAAAATGCAGTGGTGATAATGGATAGATGAACTGTTTAAATAGTTCAGTAGTAATATATGTTGGGCCGACATGTATGGGGGGAAGAGTAGCTTGTAGAAAGGCCGGTAAATCAAGAAGGTGATATCGATACTGTTAAAATTCCAAATAGTCGCGCAATTAATAATGTTTGATATCAATTACGCAGAACAGAGACTGTTATTAATATGAAGCAAAATTTTCTTGTACAATTGCATTACTGGATAAAGAGTCGCAATAATTCTGATTTTAATTGCTTGAATTATTTTGAAATCTTACTTTATTATTGAGATACAGACGTATAGTTCAATTTATGATTTTAATGTGGTAAATATTAAAGAACTCTTTACGTCTTAAAGGTTATTAAAACTGATTATTCTTAGTTACAGTTTTCATATTTGTAAATTGTAAGCTTAAATTTCTGCAGGGTCAGTGAGCTAAGAGTTGTTGAACTCCTGGACGGGCTTTGTGAAAAGATGCAAGATTACACCATCGAGAAGGTACTTCTCTTTGAAATTAACTGTTTGATCTTAGTTGGATTGGATTCTAGAAGATTGGTTAATTTCTGACAGTCTGGGGGCTTATTTTGCGAGATAATTGTTTCATCTGTTCTTGGTGCAGTCAGATTCAACTGGAAAACAGTGGATCAAAGTGGATGACTGGGACAACTTGACAAGTGTGTGGCAAATTTAAGCTTCTATTTTTCAATGAGTTCCTACTCAATAAACCTATGTTTCTTTTGTTTTTGTTTTTGTTGTTTGTTTATTTGTTTTTTTGTTATTTTTGTTATTGTTGTTGTTGTGTGTGTGTGTTTTGGCTACTGAAATTGACACTTAAAACTTTTACTCCAGTTGTTGAATGTTTGATAGCTAACTATCGTGCACTTGATGCATAACAAGAATCACAAGTGGCCTGGACTGAATTTATTTAGATCTTGGTCATGCCCCAAATTCACTTTCTTGCAGATGACTGATATTTATAGCTTGCTGCGTTTGCATATGAAATTATTTTTGCTTGTTTGTTATAATGCAAACATTTATTTGCTTTCATTATAACAGATAAACAAGAAGCTCGGGCTTATTCAAAAGATATATCAACTTATTGTGGGAGGTGAGACTGTATTTTGTGATGATTATTCAGCGATGATAATTAAGCTGGTTCATTTAGATTTATGATTTTCCCAATCTAATGTTGTTGTTTATTATCGAAACAGATTATTAGAGGAAACAGAAGATGATGTAAGTTGACATGTTTGCCTATGAATAATTTCTTTTTCTTTTATTTCTTTTTTCCCTCTCAACAGATCTAAGCAATTTCTTGATATTGATGAACCTGCAGTTGGCAGAGTTGATTAAGAAAGGATCTGTCAGACCAGGTGATGTTAGCAAAGTACTATGCCATGATTTGAGCAGGCATTGCAGCAAGGCGAGGTAACTCTTAATTTGCTGTTCGTGAACCTCTGAAAAGTGCTTTTATATCAATTTCAAATGTTAATTTGACTATGAAGTTGATCTTGTGATAAAAATGTTCATTCTGCACTGATTATAGAATTAGTTATTGTAGTACTTAACTGCTCCATCAAAATAGTTCTCTTAGGTCTATTGGATAATGAATTTGTTTTTAGTTCTGTTTTTTAAATTTATGTTTGTTCCCTCTTAATTTCAATACTATGGTTTTCACATTTCTTAAAAGAAATATTTGAATTCTAAAGCCTAGCTTGGTTTGTTCCCTTTCTAGTTTCAAGACCTAGCTTGGTTTTTGAAAACGATGGTAGAAAGTGGATAACAAAATAAATGAACTTATAGGTGAAAGTGAGTTTATAAGCTTAGTGTTCAAAAAACCTAAAACTAAATGTTTATCAAAGGGGGCTTTAACTACCTCTTTCGATTATTGATTTCAAAATAAGTATTGGTGAATTTAGAAAGCAGAGCAAGCGTTATTTTTAGAACATCTAAAATAATGATATTTAACCTAAAGTACTTTTTAGATTACCTTTCCCTTTTCGTCATTTGACCATTTTGGCAGATTTGTGAAATCTAATAGTTTCAATACGTAATAAACAGTTGCCACCTTGTTTGTGTAAAGCAGTGTTCAGCTGAATGACGATGATGATGAAGCAGATGGGGAGCTATGAAAAGATAGGTTTGAGAGAGGAGCTATAAACCATGCAACAGTTCAGCTTGTTTTCAAATCAGGAGATATGTGCTACACGCTTATTTTCTTGTATAACTGTTTAACTTTGATTGCACTTTCAATTTTAAATTTTGATAGAAAACTCAGACGATGGGGTGATGCTGACTTAAAAGCTTCAGATTGATGTTTTGTGTAGTAAAGCTTAGGGACTTGAGGTAGGCTTCATTAAGCTAAACAACCCGAAAGTAAAACTAACCATTTATAATAAAGGCATAACCTCGTAATTCACATGCCAGCCATTTGTCTACTGTTGATGGGATTTTCTGCATGTTTTTCATACTCTGAAAGATTAGGTGAAAAATGACGATCTGGCGACTTAGTTTTTCAAGTGCTCTTTGCTCATAATTCATAAGCTAGATGCTTGAAATTATGTGATGACGCAGTCCAGTCCTTCGGCATGACATTTCTCTTTATGATTACCAGGAAATAATGCTTATAAAGGGTGATATAATGACCAACCTAATGCGTCCGAAGAAATCGGCGTCGTTGTCTTGTCTGGTGTGGTAATGCACACACATCGCCCACATTTGATATGGCATATGCCTGGTCTGTGCTCAAGTCGGTTGTTGCGCGCGCGATGTTCCTAAAAGAGAATTTCTATTTTTGCAACACTAAAGTGGAGATGAAAATGTTTGTTATTATTAGCAATAAATTTGCATTGTTATTATGGTTTTATTGTTATTCATTGTCGAATCAGCAATATAAGATTATTGTGTACATGTACCTTTCTAGATGGTCCCTTTTGTCAATTGCTCTTGCCTCTTAAGGGTAAAAAAGTTATGATATATCAGCTTGCTTGTACATTAAATAGCAGTTTTTTTAAGCCCAAAAAATTTAAAGACACTTGAAGCAAGGAACAAAAGTAGCTCTTACAAAGATAGTCAAAAGAAGATTCTGGTTGCACCCAATTGATGCCTCCGAAAATTCTCACCAGCTTCATAGAAACGCAGAGATAAGAAAACAAATGAATATTAGGGTTACAAACTGTTACGACATTGATCTGTACACGCATAGAGTTCGAAATCACATCACAACGAAAAGGAACAACAGAAAAACAAAGGGGAAAAAAAAAAAGAATCTGATATGACTCTTTATTTTCGTCGTTAAAGCATATGAGCATCCAATGCCAAATAGACAACGGGCATAGGCAGCTCTGGTGGAGAAACCGTAGCCCAGTCTGCTAAAAACCAATGTTATATATACACCAACTCTCACATCTCTTTCCCTTTAAAATCATGAATTGCAGTCCAGTACACCTTTCAACAAATTCAGCCCTTCTAATGATATGCTTCTCCTTACTCGAGTTGGAGGTATTTCTATCCGAGGGGGCGGATCAGTGGAAAAACAGACCACAATAACAGTTAAATTATCGCACGTATTGCGCTTTAGCGCCTCCCTTACCAGCTCTCTTGAACATCTTTCTGGATCGTTGTGTAGCATTAGCTCTTTCCTTGCCATTGTAATAGCATACTGACTGCTCATAACATCCCAAAGCCCATCGCACCCCATTATTAGAAATTCATCTTCCTCCGTCAGATTCAATTCCTGCAGCTCTGGCTCTGCACTCAGTGGGCAAGCAGAACCCTTGGCACCTTTCATGTGCCAATCTCCTATAGCACGCGCAACAGATAACTGGCCATTGAGATAGCCATCATATATCACCCCACCAAGCTTCTCAATTCTGAGTTTTTCAGATGCACAGTTGGGCTTGTGATCCTTCGACACCTCAATAGCCTTGCCCCTCCTACCCAGAACAGCACGACAATCCCCAGCATTCGCAATAATCATTGTTCTGTAGCGAAGAAAATTAGAAGTCAGAAATGATTGGACAATGAATCTGAATACAACATACTGAAAATGTAAATTAACATTGACACATTTCTCAGGATAACTGGTCAGATAAGCATTCAGTGTATGAAGAACGAATGTTATACCAAGAAACTTGCACTACATTTGATTGATTCACTGACAAAATGAAGTGGGCTAATCCAAACAAGTGGCTACGCGTATCAATGCTCCTGCTTGATAATATTAATCTAGCATGCGAACTAACGCTTGTTACAAGTTGTAGACATACGATTTTTCAACAATTATGGATGTAGAGACGTGGGGCACTTAATCACATATTCATAACCTCACGGGCTTAGAGAAATCCTGAGAAATAACCCTTTAAATACTTTTCCACTAGTTTGTAGACTCAAAAACACATAATTTATGTAATTTATTGCTAGAATTTTGAATCCCAAGAAAACTTTCTGATAAACTTCGTACACACACACGACTCCAAAAATAATTTGAGGTCTGTACCTTCCAAAAATGAAAGCAGTTAGGGCAGTAGTGCCAGAGGAGATATCCAGAGAACTAGCATCAGCAAAAGCATAATCAGCTTTCAAAAAAGCACTCTTAATTGCCTTCTCTACACTAATTGGAAAACAGGAGTCCTCCACAATGAATCTGAGGATGTTCTTTCTAACAAAAGCAGCGGCATCTGTACCCCCATGGCCATCAAATACCTGCAACACAATAATTCCACCAAATACAACGTTAAAGCGAATATCCAAGAGAATCACTTTCTGATACAGAGAAGCTAATTAACGAAGTGGCCAATAACCCTGTTCACATTAGATTTATGAGAATACTGCCAGAAATGCAAAGGGAAGAAATTGGAAAGGATTTTATGGAAACCAAGAGAAAAATGAAAAAAATGGTGGTGACTAAGACAAATGTCGCATTACAAAACTAGGAAAATGTGGTGATTATTGGTAACTAAATGTCACTTGTGATAGAGAGACTATTATTCTGGTGCATTGAGCACGTGATGTAGAAAAAATCAATTTGCCAACTCAGGCCAACCGCAGCAAACAGAACCACAATTATGTGTGCCTGTGCCTATCTGTCCTGTGGAACCAATGCAAACTTTTTAAATCCTTGATTCAGCCACTGTGTTTTAACAATATCATCTTCTCAAGAGGGCGAGTTTACTACTACTAACAGAATTATTGGAAGCCAACATTTAATCTTTCTAAAAGAATCACATGGATGGAATGTAAGAGGCAGTTGAATGATTAGTATCATCACCGGTCGGCCCTTAAAGGAGATTCCTCCTACAACGTTACAGTGTACAGGTCAAAATGTTATCAAGGTGAAAAGTGATACTCACACCATAGAACGCTCCAGGAGAAGTGAAATCTGCACAAGCATGGATATGTTCAACAAGATCATCTATGCATATGTGTTCATCTTCCATGTACTGCTTAGGTCCTTTTTCTGAACAGCTACCCGATCTCAAGACAGGTAAGAATCCTGTTTTCCCATCAGGCGACTTATTCCCAAGAGTTTCTGCATCCAAGCTCTGGAGAGTTTATGGACACATAATTAGATGCTTCATAGCTTTCCCAAAATTAACAACAAAAATAAATGAATAAAAAGTTATAATTACACTAGAAACTAAAAATAGATACAAGACCAGTAGAAGTACTGATCACAATAGAACAAGAACTACCAAGTACAGATATTTCTGAAAAAACAAGCTAGGACACCCCAACCTCTGCCCTCCTATAATTGCAACTAGACGCAGGTAATAGACCAATAAAGTGCTAAATAGAAGTCTGATGGGAACACAAAAAGTCTTTCAGACTTCAAGCTGTCCTGAAAGCAATATGTCAATGATGCATGTTTTGAATAACAGTCATGCTACTAGTATTAAAAGGAAAAGGAAGCAACCAGAACTTAATGCCCGTAACGTCATTGAGGCAGACTTATATATACACTATACTATATCTCAACGGACAGCCATCAAACCATCCCATGAAATTGGAAGGACGTTATACAAGATAATATTAAAAAAGCAGTAATCTGCATCTCCAAAAAATCTAAAATGTAAAAAAAATGATTTTACTCACCAAGTCAGCTTGACCAAGGAGCTTTATGGAGCTCACACTATGCCGCATTACTGAGAGGTGTCGGGGAGGCTTCCCACTGGTCATCTGTTTCAAACTACTAAAGCTATCAGAACTTTCGTCATCTGTGGCTGATACATTGTCCTTATTGTATCCGCCGCCTTCCAGTAGGGTGAAGGGAGGTGAAAAATCTAAACCCGTGGCCATATTTCTGCCAAAGACATAAATTTATCTATGAAGTCCGATTTTGACCCTTATCCCAGAAGAACTACAAACAGCGCCCTTGTGAAGAATCAATTCCTAGATATCAAATTTCCAAATTTAAAGCTCGGAAAATAGCCTCTGCTGACCAATCAAAAGTATTCAATAATTGCAAGTTCTAGCGGTGTCGGCCAGGGTATGGGGCAGAGATAAACCAATAAGTCGAAGAAAATCACTCCACCTCAACTTCAACAAATTAATAGAAAGTCGAAGACTCCAATCCAAATCTTCAATACACGATAACTGGAAATCAGCAATACAAGGATACCCAGATCAAACTGCAGATCGAACTACGAAATACGGAGAAGAAACCCAGTACACAACCGCAAAATTTGCCGACCTTCACTTGCGTCTGATGAGAAATATCGGATCTACTAAGCCAATTATTAAAATGGTGCGGAATAAGTAAAACCCGGGAAAATTGCACGACGAAATCACAATCCTCCAAAAGCTGTCGAATAAAGTAAAGTGGAAAACTGGCTTTATATGTATTACTTAAATCGACAGAAGCTTTATGAAGCCACAAAGCAAACCAAGCCGAATAACTTATGAAAACGCCCCAGAAGTCTCATAGAGATGCGAGCAAAAAAGAAACGAAATAGATAAATTTCCAGAAGAATCCGTTAGAAAAGTAGGAGATTTCTCACGAGGAGGAGCGTGATTAAGAAGCTTTGAGTATTGTGTTGGTGGTCGGAAAATAGAAGAGAACCGAAACCCTAAAGAGGAGAAAATGTGAGGAAGCCGAGCAGAATCTTTGAGGAGGCTTTTGGAGCGAAGAAAATGAATGTGAAAGGGAGAAAAAAGAGGGAACTAACTTGTATGTATTTGGTTGGCGACCGGCGATTCCAGGTTATCCGGTGGATCTCGTAGCTGTCAGTTGGGTGCGCGAATAACGACACGTGATCAGTTATTATTGGTTGGTTTTGTGGGTGACCCATGACCTTGGGTGAAATTTGTGGATCGGTGCCGCCAGACCACCCAGCCGTTGGATCTCTTAGCTAGCAAACGGACGGTCCAGCGCTATCCCTCTGTCTTGTCCTTTAGGAGTCTAAAGGGCTTCCGTGGGTCCGTTGACGGCCACCAAAGACCCTAGATCCTCGACTCATCACGTGGCACTCTCCCATTGGAGGCAACAGATAGAAAGTGATTCCCCTCCGCTTTTCGGCGATCCCGTTTCGCCTCATCCCGAGGTGGGCTGGGCTCTTCGAAAGCCCAGTCTTTAAATGGAGGCCCAGGCCCAAATTAGTTGGTAACATAATATATAATTTCTTTTAAATGGAATAATATTGCTAATGACTTTTAAAGATGAGTGGGAGACAAACGCCATCTTAAATCCATTTTAAACCGAGGGATTAATCAATCTTACAATAATTAGGCATTATGAACGCATCTTAATCACTTTTGCAAGATTGTTAAGAAAATGCCATAACAGAAAGTGGGACATTTTTGGAAAATTAATCCTCGTCGACGGGCAGGGGCGGAGTCTCAGCCGCCCACAAGGGCGGAAGGGCTCACCTGTGGAGTACCGAACGAGCGACAGTAGATGGTGTCACTGTTGCTGCAGAAAGATTGGGCGTCGAAGAAAAGAACACTCATGACTTTTGCTTCATCTACGATATGACGAAAGAATTTCTTACTGTTTCTTGTCGAAATTTTCACGTGGTTTGGCTGGCCTGTCAAATTTTGTTTGCTTCTCTCTCCCTCGATACCAATAGCCGATTTGGCATTTGGCATTTGTTAGACGAACACGGCTCTCCACAATGGTTTGATATTGTTCACTTTGAGCATAAGCTCTCATGACATTGCTTTGAACTTTTTTCTAAATGTCTCATACCAATAGAGAAATTAGTCGAAGTGGGACTTTCATCATCTAACAGCATCTAGCATATACTTTGTTTCCCAATCATTCCGATTTCTTATTGGCGCAGCCTCCAATCAGGCTTCCGTTTCCTTATCTTCATTCATTTTTCTGTGAATCTACTGCTCCATGAAGTTGTATTGGAGCAGCAGACTTTTCTTCATTGCTTGATTTTCCGGTTAGTTGATAGTTTGCTAGGTGACTTTGCTACTGATTATTTGATTACTTCTTTCTTCATTTTGAGGATATTTGTGTTTTAATACCAATCAAGCTGCTTCTGGGAGTTTAGGCATTTGTAGAATAATACTTACCTTCAGGGATCAGCCAAGTTTGAAACTGTTTCCGTGGCCTTGATATTGGGTGATTTTCTTTTTCCAGTATGGAGAGGGCAAGGAATCGGATCCTTGGTCTGCTTACATGGAGAGCTTCGTTGAGAATGTTTAATATTTAAGCTTATCTTGGCTCTGTGTGCAATTGATTCACCACGAGATAATAAAAAAGTCGTCCTGTTTAACACCGTTTCCCGGCGGGCGGCGGAAGAGAGGAAGAAACAGAAGGTTTTACTGGTTCTATTGGTGTGCTCATGACTTTCAACTGGATCGAAGTTTCTTTATTTGCATAAACTGGACGTAGATAAAATCCACTGTTTTGGCAAGAATCGTAAATGAGTTTCCTTTTGCTTCTTTCTTTGCTATCTCTCTGTTGTGGTAGTTTTTCTCTCGAATTTGGTAAGAACAGTTCCTCAAGACCATCGGTTGTGAACATTGGGGCTATTTTCTCTTTTGATTCCACCATTGGAAAAGTTGCTAAAATTGCCATTGAAGAAGCTGTGAAAGATGTGAATGCGGATCCCGGAATTCTTCCCGGAACCAAGCTTTGGTTACAAATGCAAAATTCCAACTGTAGTGGGTTTCTGGGCATGGTCGAAGGTGATCCCTTGTTCTTTCTAATTTTGTTCTTCTCTTTTCTTTCCCCCACCTAATTGCTTTAACTTTCTGTCGTTTTTTTTTTTCTTGTAATCATAGCCTAGAACTAACGATGAATTTGTTGTAGTTTTGCAACTTATGGAGAATAAAACCGTAGCCATCATAGGCCCTCAGTCTTCTGTGGTTGCTCACATTTCATCCCAAGTTGCAACTGAGTTCCAAGTTCCTCTGGTCTCATTTTCAGCTACAGATCCTACTCTCTCTGCCCTTCAGTTTCCATTCTTCGTGAGGGCTGCGCAGAGTGATTTATTTCAAATGGCTGCAGTTGCTGAGATTGTTGATTATTATGGTTGGAAAGAGGTGATTGCTATATATGTGGATGATGATTATGGGTGGAACGGTATTGCAACATTGGGTGATAAACTTGCTGAGAAGCGTTGTAAAATCACATATAAAGTGGGTATTAGTCCAGAATCAGTGGTGACTCGAGCCCAAGTTTTGGATCAACTTGTTAAGGTTGCACTAATGGAATCAAGAGTTATGGTTCTCCATGTGAACCCCAAAATAGGCGCCGTAGTCTTTTCAGTGGCTAAATTCCTTCAAATGATGGGGAATGGATATGTATGGATAACAACTGATTGGCTTTCATCTCTACTAGATAGTGTTGTTCCTCTTCCTCTTGAGACCGTGGAGTCGATGCAAGGAGTTCTTTCTCTACGCCAGCACACAGCGGATTCAGATCAAAAGAAAGTTTTTCTTTCAAGGTGGAATAAGTTCACCGGTGGCTCTTTAGGTCTGAGTGCATATGGTCTGTATGCTTATGACTCTGTTTGGGTGGTTGCTCATGCCATCCACAAATTTCTTAATCAAGGTGGGATCATCACACATTATGATGATTCCAGACTGCATTTAAATGAAAGCGGTAATCTTCATCTTGAAGCTATGACTATCTTTGATGGCGGAAAACGCCTGCTGGATAACATATTGGAGAGTGACTTTGTTGGTTTGAGCGGTGCCATTAAATTTGATTCTGACAGATCCCTTCCTCATCCTGCATATGATATTATTAATGTTATTGGGACTGGATCAAGAAGGGTGGGTTACTGGTCCAACTATTCTGGTCTATCAGTTGATTCTCCTGAGACACTCTATTCCAAACCACCTAATCGTTCAAGCGCAAATCAGAAGCTGTACGAGGTTATATGGCCAGGAAATACAATAGGTAAGCCTCGAGGATGGGTATTCCCAAACAATGGGAAGCTATTAAACATTGGAGTGCCACTTCGGGTCAGCTACAAGGAGTTTGTATCACGAATCAAAAGGACTGAAAATTTCCAAGGTTTCTGCATTGATGTGTTTACAGCTGCTGTAAGCTTATTACCTTACGCTGTCCCGCACCGATTCATAGCCTTTGGCGATGGCCATCATAATCCAAATTACACAGATCTTGTGTATGGGATCACAACTGGCGTGAGTACTAAATCATATCTAAATTTTGAATCTTTTAAGTTGCTTCAATTGGGTAATTCTTGTCTGTGTATCAGAAATTTGATGCTGTTGTCGGAGACATGGCCATTGTCACGAGCCGTACAAGGCTTGTGGATTTTACTCTGCCATATACTGCTTCTGGACTAGTTGTGGTGGCTCCATTCCAAAAACTGAACACTGGTGCTTGGGCTTTCCTGCATCCATTTTCTCCAGCCATGTGGATGGTCACCGCTAGTTTCTTCCTTTTTATCGGAATTGTTATCTGGATTCTGGAGCATAGGACGAATGATGAATTCAGAGGTCCACCTAAAAAACAATGTATTACAATTCTATGGTGAGGTCCTTAGTCTGAGGTCCTTACTCTGATATCTCACTAAAATTTTCTGCTGATCGATTGATTGCTTGTGAACTTTGCAGGTTTAGCTTCTCAACTCTATTTTTTGCCCACAGTAAGTTGCTAAAAGATGGTTTGCTTTCATTGATTATGGTCACTATAATGTTATCATCTGTAATTTAATTCATTCTGTACGTATTTTGCAGAGGAGAACACAATTAGCACTCTTGGCCGCCTAGTGCTGATCATATGGTTCTTTGTGGTTTTGATAATAAATTCTAGCTACACTGCCAGTTTAACATCCATTCTCACAGTGCAGCAGCTATATTCTCCAATCACAGGAATCGAAACCTTGACGAAAGGTGGCGAACCGATAGGCTTTCAAGTTGGATCGTTCGCTGAACGTTATCTGAGTGAGGAGCTGAACATATCTAAATCGAGGCTTTTTGCTCTTGGATCACCGGAAGAATATGCCAAGGCACTTGAGCTTGGCCCTGACAAGGGGGGTGTTGCTGCTATAGTTGACGAACGTCCATATGTAGAAAGTTTCCTGTCGAGACAGTGCACATTCAGAGTTGTTGGTCAAGAGTTTACAAAAAGTGGCTGGGGTTTCGTGAGTGCTAATTCTTTCTAGGACTTATCATTCTTATTAAGTGTGGGATGTATTATTTAGTAACTCTTCTCCTGTTGCTCCTTTGGTATTTCAGGCATTCCCCAGAGATTCTCCCTTGGCTGTAGACTTGTCGACGGCCATTTTGCAGCTCTCGGAGAACGGCGATCTTCAACGGATTCATGATAAATGGCTAATGAAAAGCGCCTGCAGCATGGACAGTGCAGAGCTAGAATCAGACCGGCTTCAACTTAAGAGCTTCTGGGGCCTCTTTCTAATATGTGGGATAGTCTGTTTCATTTCTCTTGCCATATACTGCTTTCAGATTATTCGTCAGCTATACCGTTCTGATGAGAAAGGATCTGATCTGTCCATCAATAGTGGATCACATTCTAATCGTCTTCGACGAATTATATCATTGATGGATGAGAAAAAAGAACCTTCTAAAAGAGAAAGCAAACGAAGGAAAGTTGAGAAATCATTTGAAAATGATAGGGATGATGATCAGTTGGAGATCAATCCCTGAGAAAGTGGCAGATAGAACTTGAAGCAACCACCCAGGTTCATTGTCTGCTCTCTTCATCAATCATTTTAAGGCCTTTCCACACATAAATTACATTCTAAATCCAGTAAGGGAGATGTATAACTGAGCTATCTGTTTCTATAGGTTTAGAAAAATATCTATTTCCAATTTTTTTTTTGATTTTGTTCTACTTCCTTTTGGGCGAAGGCTGGAGTAAACACGAGAACTAAAAGCAGTAGCTGAAGTAAAATTTGAGCATTGTGTATTCTGCCGATTCTAGAGCGAAATCGGAGCAAAATATCTAAATTTATAGAACAAAGTGGACTACAAGATGTGTGTGGACTAATTTGCAAAGCAAAAATGAGGAAGAAAGGTGTAATAAAGGTGATGGAACCATGTTGTAGTATTTCATTCATTTCTGTCCCTTTTCAAAGGTCATTAGCTTTAGAATATTGCCTTCAAATGTTATATACGAATTCAAAACCAGCATTGTACATTCATGCACAAGAACAACATAGACTCAAAACAGCCAGCAAGAGACATGATGCCTAAGCTTCAAAAACTTTGCACTCTTTGTCAGCTGGGTTAGTCTGGCAGTAATCCTCCAATGGGTCTCCGCTCTTTCCTGATCCCGCTCCCGGCCATTCGCTTGCCACCAAATGAGCCAAGTCGACAACTCTTTGGCTGGAGGCAACAAAAAAACAAATGAAACTTAATATACTTTGGCTTCTACTATTGAGGGAACATGAATTCCCATGAATTAAAGTCCTCACCTGTATCCCCATTCGTTGTCGTACCAGGCAACGACCTTGAGCATATCATCTCCCATTACCATTGTTAGCGAAGAGTCAATTGTGGAGGAAACATCAGTACACTTGAAGTCCACAGACACAAGAGGGATATCGCATACAGCTAAAACTCCCTTCAACGGTCCATCAGCTGCCTTTCTGAAGGCAGCATTGACATCGTCGGCAGAGATGCCTTTCTTCTCAATGTTCACAACGAGGTCGACAACTGAAACGTTTGGAGTAGGCACACGAAGTGCAATTCCATTGAGCTTGCCCTTAAGCTGGGGCAACACAAGGGACACAGCCTTTGCTGCACCCGTGCTTGTAGGGACAATGTTCAAAGCTGCCGCCCTGGCTCGCCTCAAGTCACGGTGCGATGCATCTAAGAGTCTCTAAAAATAATCCCAAGAACATGACAAGAGGTCATAAGATTTTCTCTTTTTCAAGAATCATTTATCAGATCAATGTCATGGTGCATTCATAATGTGATGTTCATGTCTTTTCCTTACCTGGTCTCCAGTGTAGGAGTGAGTGGTTGTCATGGTTCCCTTCACAATGCCTGGATTCAATCATATATCAAATGGTTAAAATCAGGAACCAGTGCCAGTCGGCCAAAACGAAACCAATTGCTTACCAAATTCCTCGTCGATAATCTTCACAAAAGGAGCAAGGCAATTGGTGGTGCAAGAAGCATTGCTGCATAAAAAAATTAAAACAAAAAACTTTAATTATCAGAAGCCTAAGTAACCAAACCAACCACAAACTATTACATGGCAGCTCAAATGTCAAAAACAAATTCATTATTGACCTAATGATGTTAGCGACATCGTGGTGGTAATCTTTTTCATTTACCCCAACAACGTATGTTGGAATATCAGCACCCTTTGCAGGAGCTGTGATGATAACCTTCTTTGCACCTGCTTGGATGTGTTTTCCTGCACCTGGGCCATCCACGAACACTCCGGTACCCTGCAAGGGGACATGAATATGAACAATTGATCTTGGAGGCGATCATCCGGTGACGGATAATCTGATAATTGATACCTCGATAACGATGTCGATGCCAAGCTCGGCCCAAGGAAGCTTGAGGGGGTCCCTGCTTGAAACAACCTTGATTGGCTTGCCGTCAACAGATATAGTTTCATTGTCCACAATTTTCACGTCTGCTTTGAAAGTTCCCAGCATGGAATCGTATTTTAGCAAGTGAGAGGCCTGAAAATTTTCATCCAAATGGTAAAACTTCGGTAACACTGTTGCAGTAGATAGTTCTAGAAGAAACGTATTGCTTACATTCTTGACACCACCACTGTCATTGACAACTACGACGTCAAGAGGCGAGTCTTTCCTACCATGCCAGCACCGCAGAAAGTTTCTGCCAATACGTCCAAATCCATTGATTGCCACCTTCAGTTTAGCCACTGTTTCTCCCCGAATAGGAGATGATCCTACTGCCTGCTATGAACAACATGTTTCATACACTTATCAATTTTCTGAAACTACTGTGATCTCTCATGAAATCATCTAGAATTTCAAACCAGAAAAAAAGGGCAAAAAAGAAAAACCTTGGGGGTGAGTTGAGCAGCCACGACGTCGAAGAAAGATCCTTCTCTACCATTGTTGGGAAAGGTCAGGCAAGTGGATCTAAGCCCGTTGAACTCAGCCACATCCAGCCTCTGCACATGGCAAAACCAAAAGTAAAGTATGAGCACAGACAATCTGGTAAAATTCCGTAGTTTGAGAGCAGAAGAGACCAACCTTGAATGAGCAGCGGGTAGGGAAAGAGTAGGAAGTCTTGGATGGAAGCCTCGAGTTGGTGGGGATTCTAGTTGAAGCAAGAGCTGCATGAGTGGCCATGGCTGCTTACTCTGGCTAATACGTGACTCCACTTCACAAATATATATATATATATAATATATATATATAGATACCCTTTCCGAATCATACATGGAAGAGAGTAAGTGTTTTGTGGTGAGAAAGTTGAGGAGCAGATCATACACGAGATAAGGTACCATTTTTCGCCTTGCAAATTTAGGCAGCCTCTAAACCACAAATGTAACTTTCCAATAATGCCCTCAAGCTATATGTTCAGAATTTTCTCTTCTAATCACTGCCTCTCATTGATTGATGGCGGAGAATATTGTTCCAAGCCAATGATTCGTAACATATCCACCTCATTCCCACACCAAACGGAGAGAAGGGCCTCACTCTGGCTGAGCTGAAACAATAACATTTCACCTGGATGATAAAATGTTATTGGATGACAAAATTATTATGTTTTTTGAGCTGAAAGTCTCTTCATCACCTAAAAACTGTGTTTCTGCTTGCATCATCGAATGTTGCAAAAACTTATTTTGAGAAACAATGCCAACAATGCCAACAATTCAAAAAATGCTAAACGATTCATAAAATGCAAATAGAAGGCGGAAGGGATGAAATAAGTGGCTTCCGAATACAAAACAAAGCCCGTTGTTCGTGTAAAAAATAGGAAACACGGCGCAGGAATGCTGTTCTACAAATCTATTAAACTTTATATGGAGCATTTGAGCGATCATAACAACACATTATGGAGCATCAAAGCTCGGGTTCAAATGTTCAAGAGAGAAAATTAACTATTATTCCAGGTCGCAGAGTTGTGAGCGGTGCAGGAAGACCAACTTTCAAATGGCAGGTTCAATTTCGTCAGAGTTCACGGCCACTCCATTTGGGGGATCGTCTGTCCGGAGCTGAGAAGAAACCTCATCAATCGCAGAGTTCAACTGTTCTATCTTCTGTGCCAGCACTTTTCTTGTTTTCTGCAATTTTTCAATTTAAAAAAAAAAAAAACACGTTCAACGAGCAAATACCCCCAGCAGAATTTTCAAAACTAAAACTACACAAGCATATTTTAACATCATTGACAAGAACTTGACGAGGCTTGGAAAGAAAACATACGAATTCATTTTTTGTGATATATGTGTGTGTCCGCGCCGGCTTGCATGTACCTCGACTCATATAAGAGGACAACCACTTTACCCTACTACATTTGATGGTAAATAAAAACTAGTAGAATTTAAAATCCGATATAGGTGGCTACAATGATTTGAACTTGAACTCATTTTTTTTCGGCTTACTTTTTCACGGACCTTAATTATCACTCTTCCAACTCAGGGTGGTTAAGAAGGGTATATGATGTTGCCAATAAATAAAATCAAATCAATGCCTTCGCTAAATCAGTGTCAAGTGAAGACGAAATGTCCATTCAGGAGATAACTTGCAACAAAAAAGAAGACGAGTGATTTCGCACCTCTAAAGCTTTTTCTTCATCATATATGAACTTGGGAAGTTTCCTCATCAATTCTTTTCGATCTGTTCCAGCAAGTGCCTTGCTAATCTGTAATACAAGATCAACTCTCAGTCATGCAAAGTTGAAAGTCTAGGATTTCGAACTGAAAGCTCAGAGACAACAGTTGTGCATACTTCTTGGTAGATTGCTATAATATGTATGTTACATAATGTAGTATCATATCTCACAAGTAACAGATATACAAGATGAATTTCTCATATGTACAATTTAGAACTTAGATAAGAGATGAGCAAAAGTCAAAAACCTGAGGGGCATATACACAGCCAAGCGTGCCAACTATGAGCCCTCCCAATACAAAACCTCCAACAAAAATGCCTGCATTGCTTGACCGTCCGCTATCACTGTCATAAGGTACACAATAATCTTAACTGCCATGACCATTTGCAACTTATACTAAATGCTATAAGAGATACTAACAATTGCTATGGACTGTACATTATTTTCAACCATACAGAGATTTATTATTATGATTTGGATAAGAAACGATGTTTTATAGACTAAACGAGAGAGAAACAACCTAAGGGCTCAGGAAGGGAAATCCTCCTCCCAAACAAGAGAGAAACAACGTAAAGGACCATTAGAGGCTTCCAATAATTAAAAATCATCAAAAGGCTGTAATTGTAAAAAAAATCGTGTGGTTGGAACACCACGATGAAGCTATATGTACACTATTCCAAAAAGAATCCATGAAAAGAAGAGGCTTCTTTCACCTAGGAACGAAGGTTTGAGCTAAATTTTCCCAATAGGGAGGCATATATAATAGGAACAAATGCTACACTCTCATAGGGAGGCATAACTCGAAGCCGGAATCATACAGAGTTTATAGATCAAATTCAACGACCATTTGATTTGATATCTAGAGTAGAATGAGTACATGCATTCAATATGTTGATTCAATCATTCTTTCACTAATCCAAAACTAAATTAATGAAATTCAGTTTTGCACATGGACACTCAAAAAGGACCATCCTTCGGTTTGGAAATCTGTTTGACCAGTTGAACTGAATCATTTGAAACTGGTAAGATTCTTGGTTGTTGACTGACTGCCTGAGATTAACACCTTCAATTTGGTTTAGTATGGAAATTCTTTTTCCAGAATTTGCACACCCCAATGATAAGCCTACCCGTACAAGGATTCTAGACATGCATTCCTACCATGTAAAGAGACTTCGGAGACTATAATTCTATCATAAAATATGACTTAATGGCATGTTGTTTAAGTAGCGATTCCGTAGATTATACCTATATGCAGCTTGAACTGAAAGTGGCCGCCTGGATGTAGAAAGCTTCGCCTTTCCCACCCAACCAGGATTGAGTAACAAGCTGGTGGGGGACACACTCCCCAGAAGTTTATCAGCAGTTTTCAGATTTGACCCTGCCAAAATAATTTGCGAGCAAATTTAGACTAAAAAAATTTTAAGTGTCCATACATTTATACTCTCCCCAATTCTTCCAAATTATGAAAATGAGAGCAACTATGTACTAGTCAAATTCAATCTTCCAAGAATTGAAAATTTTTCATTGATTTGGAACTCAGGACATCATGTTCACGTAACAGAAACGAATAGAATAACCGAGCCTTTCGACAGCAATCGAGAAACGATAAACAGCCCACCGCAAGCTTCATAACAATAGGGAAAATACACGGTTCCCGCACAAATTTCCCATGGAACAAGGCGGTTTCTACATATAACACTGCCGATTTATGAGGTAAGCAGATTGTGAAGGGTAGCAGGTAGCCACCATTTGAAGCTCGGTGTAATTCAAGAGACAAATTACAAGAAAAACCAATAGTATTCAACAGCAAAAATCTGAGATAAGATCAAATGCTGAAGAAATTAGAGAGTAAGAAGAATTACCAGATGATAACGGGAGTTGAGGGTTTTTGGTTGAAACCAAGGAATTAGATATCGCAGCCATCGGTGAGTCCCAAAAATGACCTGGAGAGAGAGAGAGAGAGAGAGAGAGAGAGAGCGAGCGAGAGAGAACGGTTGAAGGGCCAAAACAGTTTATCACACTGGAAAATATTTCTTGTTCTTGTTCGATAATGTCGATGGCCATGAGGAAATTATCCGGTGCATTGCGATTACAATAATTCCCATGAGCTCGTGTTTCCCCGCTTTGTGATCCAGGCCCATTTCCTAAGCCCATACTTGTCTTCTCTATGGACCCGATTTTTTCAGGGCATTTGGCCCAACTTTAAAACTGAACCTTACTTGCTCGTTTTATTTTATTTTACTTTCGGCAAATTCATGTTTTGGAGTTTGTTAATATTTATTTATTTATTTATTTATTTATTTTAATCTTCTTTTTAAATTAACGCCTAAAACAAATGACGGTTAGTAAATCGACAAAAGCTCGATTAAAATATTATTGTATTTTGTGGATAGCGATATGATGTGGGCGCTTTCCGAACACTTCCCCCGCGCAGTTCAACCGCCATGGCAGTGGCCACACCGAAGAGCTTGGATTCGTGTCCCATTCATCGCCTTCTTCCTTAAATTCGTTCTCAATCCTCGGCCAACCGACGAGAGAATGCGAGGCAGGATGAGTTTTCTCCACCAATTTCAAGAAGGTCTGCAATTTTGACCTCTTCGCTACCTTTCATTCTCGTTTCTGTATATCCGTCCGAGGCAATAGAGATAAGGAACAAGAGGACCATTCCTCTCGAGGACTGTATCACCAGCGGTTAGTAATCTCAGTCCTTCGTGTATCACTATCTTCTGTATTTATTCTCAATACTTTCAATAAGTAGAAGATTCCAAATCTTGATTCAGTAATTGCGTCATATTCTTCCAACTCCACTGAAATGAAATGGAAGTTTGATTTGCTAAGAGTGAGTGCGTTGTGAAATTTATAGCACTACTATGATAATATGATAACAGTTACGATAGATCCTCCACAATGGTATGATATTGTCTATTTTGAGTCTAAGCTCTCGTAGCTCAGCTTTTGAGTCACCTATGACTATACCTTCTAGGCTCACAACTCCTTTGTTCGACATTTGAGCATTCTATTATCATGGCTAAATTAAGTGCATGACTCTGGTACAATGTTAGCAAGCATGAACCCTCTACAATGGTATGCTATTATCCACTTCAAGCATAAGCTTTCACGGTTTTATTTTTGGTTTTCCCCAAGAACTTCATATGTGAGGCTACTCCTCTCAATAATCCTTACACGGGAGATCTAGGGAGATCTAGGATGTTGGTTGATAAAAGAAAAATTATATCCATCGAAATCTCACATTTAATGGTTGGAGTTCTGGATTATGAGGAGCATTTCTATGTAGCTTTCTTTGATTCACATTGGCAATGACATTTTGGTTGCCGAAAATGGACTGAATTACTATGATGTGGAGGAGGGAAAGGGTCCTGTGGCAGGGAAGGGTTCCGCAGTTCAGGTAATCTGCTTGGAAAATTTTGAGGCCTACTTTGCCTGTCTTTTTAATTTTAGCTTTCTGAGATCAATTTGCATGTGAACGCATGAAAACGCGGGATTAAAATCTGGTCCGACTCCCTGGTTTTGTTGTCATATCATACAATCTGATCTCAGAACCTTGTACTGAAAAAAACTATTTCTTTTGATCATGAAACATGTGCAAACATATATATATATATATATATATATATATATATATATATATATATAGGTTTACACTTTTTCTCCCCTCAGTGATTGTCTATTTTTTAGTCATGCGCATTACCCTTTAGATTACGAGGGTTTCAAATATAACCTGTTCAAGTAACTTCATTAAGGGAAAATACCAAGAAAACTTGTATATTGTTTAAGAGCAAAATTGGATGCTTAAATATACTTTTAAAGTGAATAGTTGTTTTGAAACAATTCAGAAGTCGTAAAGTGTGAATTTCCAAAGTTTAAAAGATTAATTGCAGAATAAATTTTTTTTTGTAAAGTTTATGGGCAAAAGCCATAATTTAGCCCCCTTTTTTCTGTATGCAAGCATAATGAGTTAAGGAATCCAAGAAATGGTCAAGTCAAGTGGCCTTTGGTTTACTTATGTTATTTATGTCAATTATTGCGTCGAGGGTTGAGATAGAGATAAGATAACAACTTTTTGGTTGTATGGTTATGAGATGTACATGTAATCCTACTTTGTATAGGCAGCCTGGCGCTACTTTTGAATTGAACATCGAGCTTTTGGAAGTGGTGCGGCCGGAAAAAGGAGGGGCCTGACATAATTCGAGAGCCAGGTTTTCTATCCCCACTGAACTAGAAGTTGAGCATTAGCTGACTGATTGATTCTTTTGTTAGGACGAGGAGAAGCACGAGCAGGTACTGGGTAAGGGGGAGTTTTTTTTTTTTTTCAATGGAACCTTCAGTTCTTTACTTGCTGTTGTTCTAAACATGATGAAATTGTTAAGACCAGTGGTTAGGTATGGACTCATTGCGCCCCTCTAAAATGTAACAAAAGCTCCACTCTTGTTAGTGCCAAACGCACCAAATTTCTACTTCGGTCTTTGGCCATGCCACCTTTCCTCTGCCCCCACCCCCTTCTTTCTCGCTTTAGCTTTAACTTTAGCTTTTGGGTCTGGTTGGATATTAATTTTTAGGAGTTAGAGGACGGCTCTGATAGGGAAAACGTGACAGCCTTATTTGTATATTGCCTATTGTTTCATTAGCAAAAGGAAAAGCAGAAGTTTGAAGTGTGTGGATATCGTTTTCATAGAGAGACGCAATAAATTGGTGTTGTTGGAAAGGGGGATTGGATTGGATGGTTGTCCCAAGTGTCATATTGTGGAGCAGAATCAAAGATTTCCCTTTGTTGATGCGTCGAAAGTGCCTTGTCATTGCTAGGATGCCTCTGGGCTTCCACCCCACCTTCCTGTGAAACCTCCTCCTCCTCCTCCTCCTCCTCCTCCTCCTCCTCCTCTTCTTGACATTTTCACTTTGGTCATCTAAGAGAAAGGAAGGGCGACTCAAATCAGCAGACAGTTTGTCTGTTGGTTTCCCCCAACCTCGGATTCAAGTCCACGTCACCCCATTCTACAGCAAAATGATGTCGTTTTGAGCGAAATAGTGTGTTGTGTTCTAGTCTGAGTGTGAACCAACAGGAGGGATCCACGAAAGAGAAAGGACTTGCACCGTGTTTCAGAGTATCAAACCACTAAATTACTGCTTGTTTGATTGATGGTTTTGTGATTTCTTAGATGACAAATAAATAATACTGGTTTTGGATTGAACCCAAATGCCACAGGGGAAAGGCTTCAGTTTTTGTTCACTCTTTTGATACGGAACCGAATTCGTCGTTTTCAATTATATCAGTCATCATGTTAATTAAATGAGTATTAATTGATGTATGGCGTTGGTTGTTTCACGATTCCAGCAAAGTTTCACTTTTAAATTGCTCGCTGCCTTTTACGTCTTCTAATTTTGTTTAATTTATGTACTTTTTTTCTTTCCCCTTCTGAACCCAACTAAAAGAGCTGTACCTACTTCCTCATACTTCTGCCTTACAATCCGAGCTTTTATTTTATTTTAGAATTTTGAAGGAAGCTCAACAGCAAATTGAGGTTGGATAGTGTGTTCTGTGATGAAAGTGAGTCAGCCTTTTCCCATCATACAAACACACAAAGCACAAAGCACAAAGCTCAAAGCTCAAAACACAAGAGACCAAGGAAGGAGCAATGAGTTGGATGCTTATAATTCCCTAAGATGCAACTCAGAGATTATTTTTGGATTGAAGCTTCTTGGAGCAAGTATTGTTGAGCTGATGTTCTGGGCGAAAAACATTCGAAATTTGAATCCTTACCCTCCCTAGGAAATTAAAAGAAAAATATATATATATTAGTGTATTTGTGGAGTATAATATAAAATAAAATTCAGTAAATAATTGACATGTGGGCGGGTCTAATCACGAGCTCCCAAGGTGGAAAATGGAAACCCCGATTCCCGTGTCCCAGTATAAAACCCCCCTCAAACTCCCATCGAAACGACAAACGTTACGCCCCCACTTGATTCAAAACGACTCCCCTTCCCATCTCTTATTTTATTGCCTCCTCCCTTCCCTCGCCGCCGCTTCAAATGCGTCCCTTTAGGTACCTCGCCGGTGTGAACTCCTCTGCCATCTCCGACTCGGCTGAGCCCCAGACTTATGACTCTGACTTCGTCATAATCCTAGCTGCCCTCCTCTGTGCCTTGATATGCGTTCTCGGTCTAGTTGCTGTTGCCCGCTGCGCCTGGCTACGCCACCTTGCCGGCAATGTCAGCGGCGGCGCTTCCACTCGTCCTCCTCCTCCTCCTCCTCCTGCGTCCAATAAAGGTCTCAAGAAGAAGATCCTGAGGTCTCTTCCGAAGTACAACTTCACCGCTGAGTTTTCTGCTCAGTTCTCAGATTGCGCGATCTGCCTCGCGGAGTTCGCAATCGGTGATGAAATCCGGGTGCTGCCACAGTGCGGCCATGGGTTTCACGTGTCCTGCATCGATATGTGGTTCCGATCTCACTCTTCATGTCCTTCGTGCCGTCAGATTCTTGTGGTAAGTCAGTGCCAGAAGTGCGGTGGTTTTCCGGCAAGCTCGAGTTCTAACGGTGGGACGGAATCCAGAGTGAAAGAGGGAGGAGATGGTAAGATGAGTAGATTCTTACCTTAGCCCTAGGGTGTTTCCTTTAACTACTGCGATTCTTGTTCCTTCCTTCCTTCCTTCCTTCCTTCCTTCCTTCCTTCCTCCGTGTTGTAAATAGCTTTCTTAGTCAAATTCATGTAATTACTAGAAATTGTTTATGAAATCAAGTTGAAGCAAAGGTGATTCCAATGAATTTGAAATCGGCCGCTCTGGTAGATCTGTTGTGATTATTGACTTCAAATCTGTCGTCGATTTTCAGCCTCGGATTGAAATGGAGATGGCATGAATTTACAATACAGGCGAGGAGTTGAAATCAAAAAGGGGAAAGGGGAAACTCCAAACAAATGGATATTTTGTTCCCATTTTCGCCAGCTTTTTACCTGTCAAATTAAATATTTTAAACTAACTTTCAATCTACGCATCGTTTTTCAAATAAATCTTTTTATTGGCCCACAAAAATTAGCACTTTCTCTTTAATCCTTCCACGAAGGTGGTATGTACATACAGCCTATATCTGTTTGATTGTCTTAAGTTTTTACATAAAAACTCTTTTATTGACTTTACGAAAGAGAAGCGAATAAGTAATTCATATTTCTCAATTGGTTTTCATAATTTTGAGTTAAATTGGTCGATTTTGCTAATCTCGTGATTTTTTGTGGAGTGTAGTTAGATCATAGTCAAGGTATTGATAGTGAGTGAAGATAGATTTTGTTGGGTTTTTAAAAATGCATTTGTTGGGAGTGTGTTAGCCAGAACTGGTAAAGAATTGGCTGGAATTGCATTATGGGGGCTAACTTTGCTCTTAATCTTCCTTCAAAGACAAACTGTCAATGAATGGATTGATTGGATTATGTATATATAAATGTAATGCAAACAAACTGCAGTTACACCCACTAACTAATTCCTACTTTTAAAACCTAAACTGCAACATACTTTTACTTATTTATTTTTTGGTCCTCCAACGCCACACTATCAAATATTGCGGCCCTTTCCGTCCTTTAAGAAAATGGTCCCTTTAATTTGACCAAAAAAAAAGACGGCATTCATCGTAATATGAATGGATAAATTAGTATTTTTAAAGAGGTGAGTTAGCACAACTTTATAATTTTTCTCAGACCATTATAACCTAAACTTGGTTTGTTAGGTCAAAACTTAAAATATTTGTTTTTGTAAACAAAAGTCCAAAAGTCAATTTTATTATTCCATCGCGTTTCCAGCAGTCCAATAAAATAAAATAATATAATGAAAACCCCCACCCACATGGGTACCATGTCATTCAATTATGGCCCACGTGGCAAAGACTCAACCAAGAAATAAATCTCATTCATTTTCTTTTCAAATCAGGATGCTATTGCACAGTGTCGACTTTCCAAATAACATTAAGCTTTGAAAAAAACTAATTAAAAGACTCTTCTTTTGGAGTTAATGAAAATATACAGAGAGTTTTGCCCAATGACATGTGAACTATGTCATATTTGACACAACGGGCCTGATTATTTCTTAGGGATTGGACTAAAAATGATTTTTTCTGTAAAAGAGAAAAAAGAGAAGGAAAAAATATATTCATAAAAAAGTGAACCCGACGTGAATCGAACACGCAACCTTCTGATCTGGAGTCAGACGCGCTACCATTGCGCCACGGATCCGTCTTGTTGTATTCTTTAATGTAATTATATATACTTTTTTTTTTCCATTTGCATTTCTCATCCAGTCATTTGGATACGAAACGAAGATACTCTTGCAAAACCCTATCCTCCCCGGATCCTTGATTTGCTATGGCACCTCTGTGCATTTTCCTGCCTCCAACATTCTGATTCCCCATCTTACTTTCTTTCAGTATGTTTTCCTGCTCATGTAATGGCATCCAATTGGACTCTGCGGTTACATTCTTATTCTTTCCAGGTAATCGCTCCGCTTGTCTTCTTTTGATTTTATCATGAAATATTCTCTGCTATGTTTATGAACTTTCTAGATCATGTGTGCAGCCATACGTATGGGTTGGAAAGCCTCTTGTTCTGTCCGTCTTATCCGAACTCGGAATTGGTTATAAATGCGCTGGCATTAGATATGGTCATTTCAACATTAACCGGAATCGGCATCGAATTGGTCGCAGATTTCTAATAAATTCGGCTGAGGGGTCCGGGAGCACTGATTCCGGGCGAAATGTCGAAGATGATGAAATTATGGTCAAGAGTGGGACTGGTGGTGTAGCTTCCAGAGATTACAAGGGGAAATTGCAGGAGATGATTTATTCGTCGCCTCCAGGCGTTTTCCTTGTAAGTTTCTGGTTGATTAGGAGTTTGTGGCTCTTCCTTCTTTATAGTTTTTTGTACTTTCGAGAATGGCGTTTGCAAGGATTATCTTCTTTCTGTTATGTTCGCAATTTAAACCTCTTACCGCAATTCATTGAGTTCTGTCTCCTGAATGGGCATGGATCATTACCCTGATACTTCTTGGGCTACGTGTGCAACCTGTGTTTCGTCATGAATGATTTTGGGCAAATGTTTTATGATATCAACGGAATTGATATAATCAAATGCAGGTTCTGAACGCAATGAATTATATACAATTTGCGAAAATGTATAGTGTCTTTTGTTTTAAGCCCTACACTATAGTGAATGAACTCTTAAGCACAAATCATGCCTTTTATTTTCGAGTTACGGGTGTCTTACTCTCTTGTTCTATTCCGCCTTAGATGAACAGATGTACTGGAAATGGTCTTGCAATTGGGTTTTGCATTGCGACGGCTTGTTTAGCAATAGTTGCAAGAGTGTATTTGATGGGAAAATCCAGGAGCAGTCATTCCGGATCAGTGGCTGATCTAGTCAGGCGTGGTCAGCTAAGATCTGACAGAAGAGGCATGTATGATTTAAGTCTTTGGAACCTTTGTCCTTGGAACATGCTAATATGTTTGTTATATCCTATTTCCATTATTTTCTTATAATTTCCTCTGTTATCGCCATTTTTTTGCAGTTCCAAACCTTTAAAATACAATGATCCCTTTAACAATCCATTGGTGAAGGTTGACCAAAGCAATTCTTCCGTAGAAATGTGTGGAAAGGTTTATCGGTTGGCCCCGGTTACTCTTACGAAGGAAGAACAAAGTATTCATCAGAAACGGAGGTCTCGGGCATATCAGTGGAAGAGACCAACCATGTTTCTTAAGGAAGGAGATTCAATTCCTCCTGATGTTAACCCTGATACAATCAGTTGGATCCCTGCAAACCATCCGTTTGCAACAACATCTAGTGATATTGATGAAGACTTGGCCCAGAACAATGTGCACCAAAAGCATGGTGTTCCCTTCCGTATTCAGGCCGAGCATGACGCTTTGCAGAGAAAGCTTGAAGCGCTCCAGGGTGTGAGTAACTCTGATACTCTGTACTCGATTCTGTCTTGTCTTCATGCTCTTCCTTCAGTTGATAGATTCATATATAACATTTGCTGCGTGGTAATGGTGAGTGAATATGTTCGTTCCATGATGGAATTGATGACCCACAAAAAGTTCATATAGACAACCTAACACGGTTCTCTCCCTGGTAGATGCTGTTTTGTGTAGCAAAACGAATGCCCTGTCCATCTCTTCATCTTTTGTCATTTTGTGCGAGTTTACCATATTATCCTCTCTTTTAACCAGCCAATTCCCTTCCTAAAGATGTTAAAAGCATTTCATCTATTTCTTCCAAGTCTGATCCGTTTCACATTCAATGGACACCCCTTCGACTTCAAGAAGGGGAAGATTCCTTGGATTCAATTATTTGAGCCCTTTCTGGGACCACATGGTTAGAAAAAAAAATAGAAGAGATTTTTAGGATTAAGATTCTTTTGCCTTTTTTGAGATTCTTTCACTTTTGTTACTCATTATTTGGTGTTGAAAATTATGCGCGACTCCATTGAAATTATTTTTTAAATTCTTTTTCTCCAGGCTGAAGTGTTCTTTAAATATATCTTCCTTTGCTAGTTGGGCTCCTCTCTCCTTTTGCGATTTCATTACTTCAATGAAATCCATCACCATTTGGTATTTGGTTTTTAGTTTTCACACTGTGACCTACAATGAAATCCTCTCTTCTTGTGATGCGTAGTGAGTATTTTAATCTCAATTAAAGTTGTCATTTTGATTTCTTATCATTAGTTTGTTCGATAAATGATGATTTTTTGTTCTCATTTCCTTTCTTTTACCCGGTTCTTGTGTTCCCCGATCATGGAAAATTTCCAGTGATGATGCCATTTAGATATGGTTACCAAGTGATAGTGTAGATGGCTGTCCATTACATTGTCTTATGAGTCGCCCTTACACATTCATATTTACATTTTCTGCAGGAACAGAAACTGAATAATTTATTTATAGATCCTAGAGATGGGAAGGATTTTGAGAGACCTGTTGAGTCCAAACCCAACTCTGATGAACAAGTAGAACAAAGCTTTACAGACCACCAAGCTGGAGAGTCGAAGCCTCCAAACTCGGGACATCTCCCAAGCTCTTTCGGGGTTCAATCCTCATCTGATGAAGCACAGAAATCCTGAGGTAAGTTTGGATACACTTTTTAAAGCAGTTAGAAAGTCAATCCAATCCAAACAAGTCTAGTATCATTCTCCAAAGTTTTTGAATTTATGTGTTTAACATGCATGCAGGTTTCCTGCAAATAGGATTTGCGTTTGCAGTTTTGCTGTTGATCTTATCTGCAATGCGCATTACGAAGTTAGTTATTGAGGGGCACTGTGTAGTAGCAATGCACGCAGGCTCGATTCCTTGGGACCATCCTGTGGCTTTGGAGACAAACTCTTAAAAGAGTGTACTTTATTGAATTGAGGGAATATAAGAGCTTCTTCAGCAGAAAGGTGGAAAAGAAGTTGTTTTGAATGATTTCTTGGCGATTTATTCGAATTCTTTAATTAAATACAAAACGAACTATGCAATCCCTCCTGTTTTCGTAGTGAACATGTAATGTACTACTCTCTTATAATCAATTATATAGGAAATAATAAATATCGACACACTCGACGGACACCATCTCCGGTGTGGGCCTCGGCGGCGAGGCAAGTACTACTGGCCGGAATTGAAACCGCCCGTTCTAATTAGCAAACTTTACATCTGGGTTTCGTATAGGTTTGAGCCACATGTCCGCCATTACTCTCGACGACAAGCTCCACAGCAAATCTGGGCCCTTGGATGCTAAATGTCTTCCCTTCTTCGCTGCCTTCCCAATCCCATACGCCACCAGCCACTGCATCGCCGTCAGCATCTGCTTTTCACTGTCCCAGGCGTTTCTCTTCCCTCCGCCCCTCCTCACCTTCAACCCTCCCACGTGCAAGCTCGTCACCTTGAATCTTCTTTCCTCTTCGTATTTGCTTCTTTCGTCTTCCATCTCTACTTCTTCGGCATGGATCAGACCCAACACAGGCCCTCCCACTGCTTCGTATCTCCTCAGTGGGTCTCTTAGCTGCACCACCACCGCCAGTGTGACGCCTTCTGGGTCTTCCCTTTTGTTCCCATATCCGGTGAAGTTGAATTTCTTCATCCAATCTTCTAAGGGAACTGCAGAGTCCAGGGGGTAGAATTGGTTTTGATCTTTTCCCCCAATTTTCACATTCAGAGCAGAAACGTCAAATGGGGCTTCTTCCTCCGCCATTTCCGCCTGGATTTTCAAGGCCTCGACGCTCATTTCTTCCAGCTTCTGCATTGAGAATGCTAGAATCTCTTCAATGGTCAGAGGAGCTTCGTTCAAGTTCCATATTCCTGTCGAAATCCTCTCCTTCCTTCCTGTGCTCAATGCGGCCGCCATTGCTTTTACAGTACCAACAGCGCGGGCGGCGGTGGAGCTTGCTCCTTCTTTGTTTCTCCCTTGAATGATTGCAGAGGCAATTCCTTCAAATGCTAATTGTTCTGCTGTTTTTCCCATCAGTTCATCCGAAGACATTAATGCCACTACTTTTAAGCTCAGTGCCTCTACCCCAATGCAGGCCATTCTTTGAAACAATTCAAACCCGCTCAGCGACTGTGTGGACGCTAAGATCACTGGTTTCGATATCTGCATCGCTAGTTTTGGAGTCTCCTTCCTTGAAACTGGGGTGTTTAATGGATTCATTGCGGCTAAGTAGCTTCCATCTTTGGTTTGAACAACACAGCCTAATCCCTTTCCAAGATCTGAAAGGTATGGTTTGGATTCAGTCTCCGTGGAATCCTCTGTTTCTTCAAGTTGGAGAGGAGGAATTTCAGGGTAACTGAATTCATTGTTACCGTTATTGTATGAGCCTGTACCATCTTCCTCCTCCAGCATCTGAAGAAATTCCTTCGTTACGTTTTCTTCTTCTGCATCAAGTCTCTGCGAATCGGATTCTTCATCGTTTCTACCAATGTTTTCATCTCCCATCATTGATTCCAGAGCTTTTATTTGCTGCGCAATTGAATCGAGTTCCGATAGTCGATTCAAATGAGCCTGGTCGTGCACAACTTCCTTGACTACCTCGCTTGAAGTCGACTTTTCGTCCACTGATTTCTCGGATTCTTCTTTTTCCACCTTTTCCTCTTCCTCCTGAATCTCTACTCCCTTATCCACAACTTCAAAGTCTGGAAGATCGAGATCTTCAATCTTCGGTTCTTCTGATTTCTGAACAGGCGGCGAGGTTGACGGAATTGGCGCTGGTTCATCTAAGTTTAGGTCATCCATTCCTGGAAGATCCGCCGACGGTCTTGTTTGTGACGGAGTCCAAGCTTCACTTTGACTGGTTAATCTCGGACTAAGAACACTGAATGAGGTCTTCGATTGCTTTCTCCCGAAAGATTTTACCGATTTCGATTCCTTCGGGTGTGCTTGATTGTAAATACCAATTCCTCCGTCTTTCTCCATAATCTGAAATCCTAATTTAACGAGGAGCTCTCCCCCTCTGGCTTTTCCCGCCAGATTAAAGCTAATGTCCCACTGTCGAACTCGCGTTCCTTCGTAACTCTTCTCCGTGGATTCTTCAATAAGTTTACTCAAATCCACTGAATTTCTCCCGAAATCAAGCTCCTGAGCATCTACAGCAAAAGCGTAAATCCAAAACGGACGAGGCTCGAATTTCATAGGCTTTCGGTTTCCAGGAGTGCAATAAACATGGCATTTGAGGAACAATGTCTCTTCGAAATCCGCAGCGCCTTGCGAAACTCTAGACGGCATTGTATTTACAGCTCCATCTTTGGTCTCTTTCTTTCTCACACAAACGGAAAGTCGAAGCCCATTCATGGAGGCTGGAAGGCCCTGAACGGTGACCACTTCAACAGAGAACAAGCAACTCATCTTGTGCATTCCAAGGAGTGTGAGAGCTCGAATCGGCTTCCAATTCCAAATCCCCTTCTTCTCCGGTGGCGCTTCATCCAACTTCCTTGCCTCCGGCTGACTCGAAGATACCCTGCTTGGTTCCGTTTGCGATTTATCCTCATCGTTGAGCTTGGGGCGAGAACGCCACGGTGACAGAGACATCCGTCGGGACTTGGGCCTGTTGAGCCTGTCGTCGTTTCTAGCGATGCCCACATCTTCAGCAGAAGGAATAGAAGGAAGAGAGCTCCGAGGAAGAGCAAGCGAGGCTGTTCTTCGTGTAGTGGAGATGTGGTTTTGGTAGAGCGATTGGCTGAGGGCCTCGAGCTCATCGAGAAGCTGGGTATTGGAATCCCTTCTTTGGGACGTGTTCTGATCAGTCGCCATTGATGAGGTTGAAGCCAAAAGTGGTGCAAATAGAAGAAGAAGAGAAGAAGAGAAGCAGATAAGAGGGCATTGGGGTTTGAAAGAACATGAGGCGGAGAAATTGGGAGAGACGATAAGTAATAGAAAGCTGTGTGTGGAGGATGGAGAGCCACCCAAATTTGTCTGGGCACAAAAGCTTACTCATAGACACGGAAACAGACAGCCGCCGGCACGCAGCTTTTCTTCCATCTCGTGTCCCTTCTGCATTAAATGTTTGTTTTCAACCGTGGATCATTCCTAGTTATGAACTTCAGCAATATTGAATATGATTATAGTTGGAATTAGCATTATATGATATGATTCAAATGAAATGTAGATGACTAATGATTGTGGGTCTCAGAGGGGGGGAGCGGGTCAAGTGGGAGCTGAACTTTTGGAAACACTTGGACAAAGCTGCTGTTTTTCTGAAGGAGGCACATTTAAGTAAGATGTGAAAAAAGGGTGTGTTCAGATATAGAGAGAGAGAGAGAGAGAGAGAGAAATGTCGAATAGCGAAGAGGAGCAGCAACAGCAGCAGCAATTGGTGCGGGAGAAGGAAGAGAAGGCTTCTGTGGAAGAATTGCTGCCATTGGAGAGCAGTCCGTACGTGAAGTACAAAGACTTGGAGGAGTACAAAAGAGAAGGGTATGGGGCGGAGGGGCATCTTGAGCCCAAGCCCAACCAGGGCGGCGGTACTGACGCACCCACCTTGTCCGGCAGCGGCTTCCCGGAGGTGAAGCCCGCCACCATTGACTTCGTCACCAACCATGGCCTTCTCTCCTGATCGCCTCAGCCATGCCATTCCCATTTTCACTTTTTTTTTTATCTCATTCTTCTTCTTCTTCTTTGTATCTCAACAACATGGCTGCAGCAGAAGGCAAGCTTGTAAGTTTATGAAAATGCTTCCGATAAAAAGAGGTTTATACACATCCTCTTGAATGGAGGTGGGATCTCAATTAGGATTCAGCTTTATTGCTAGCACATCTAAGGTGTCATACTTTGATGCTTTTTGTAATCGTATAAAAAATGTCTCGATTCTTTAAAAAGCGAGCCATATCTACGTTATTTCCAAAATTAATTTGAGTTAGAAAGCTGAAGAATAAGAAAATAGCTGATGATCAAATTCAAGAGATATAGTTGCGATTGCATGCCAATGTCATAAATGAATTTAGTAAATAAAAAATATTTCAAAAAGTAGCATTTTAACAATTAAATATAATAAAAAGAATCGAAAAAAAAAAAACATGGCAGCAAAATGGGCCGCCTGGGTGACTGCTACTTAAGACCCATAAACTACAAGGAATCTTAGAATGCGGGCCTGTGGTTAAGGCTCGAATTTGTGTGAATGGGCCTGACCGGTATAGAAGAGTGCGATACTGTGGGCTGGCGGCGTATATAGTGTAATGGACCAACTCCCAACTGGATACATACATCAATTATTGGAAAATTCCTTTCGGTGAAATCTGCAGAAAAATGGCGCTAATGAGAGGAGAGCCGCTGGTGAGGAAACTCGCTGTGTTCGCCAAGTACGTTGTTCTGCCAGCAGCCATGGCCGCTGCTCTCGTTTACTCTCCTCCCGATTACGTTTATTACAAGAATGACGATAAGTCATCCAAATAGGACACTTTCCCATCTTCCACCTGTTCGGTTCGTCTCGATCTGTCATCCCTTAGGGTCAGCGCTTTTCAATTTTCATCCTTATTCTGAGTTTTTTCTAAGATGTTGATAGATGATTTTTTCTGACTGCTGCATATTGTATGTCAACGAACGTGTTGCCTTCTATTTGAATAAATGTTTGGTGTGGTTGCATCAGCAATTGATGTTTCGTGTATCTACGAAATTGATAATGATCATAATTGACGGATTTGTACTTGTTTTCGTGATTTTCCGTAGCTAAGAAACGTGTTCTTATACTTCCCTCGTCGTGGTGATTGAGGTATACAAAACGTATTTGAGCTTGTCTCTACATTTTTTGCCCTTCTCTGAGTAACTTCTAATCGAATCTTTTCTTGATAACTCTGTTTTGACTTTGCGGGAAATTAGACCGAATAAACTAGGTTTAGAATGGATGAAAGTAGGCCTTCTTAGATCCAACTTTGCAGAATTTTTGTTTTTCTAGGATCATCATCTAGATGACCAGCCATTTAATGGGCATATTAGTAGTTGATCTCCCTAGCTTCATCATTGATTATGCCTCTATTGCTTGAACGTAAGGTTGCTTATTCTCGATGGTAAACCCCCGGACACACTAAGCACATGTAAAAGAAAATTTCCTAAACACCAGCCATTGTTGAGGATTTTTGAGAGAGTCCCACGTTGGCTAATTTAGGAAATGATCATGGCTTTATATGTAGGAATACTATCTTCATTGGTATTATGCCTTTTGGGGAAGCTTAAAGCAAAACCATGAGAGCTATTCTCAAAATGGACAATATCATACCATTGTGGAGGGTCGTGATTCCTAACATCCATTGTCCATGGACTTTGAAATTTACAATCTTTGCTACATCATAATTTCTTTACAATCTTTGCTACATCATAATTTCTTGATACCTCGACGCATGGGTTTCAGACTATGGCTTTAATTTGCAGAAAAAATGTTTGGAATGGCGTTGAATGCTATATGAGTATTATGAGCTCTGGTGTTGATTTTCTGTTCTCTTGTTATGCAGGACCGTCTGATCATGTAGGCTTGCATTTGCAGAGTTGTATTCCTCTTATGTTGATAATGGTGTGTACTGGACTTATTATCACCATCTCTCAATAACTCGTAGTTTGTTTTACTTTTGTGGCTTCATCTTCGGGGAAAAAAGTAATAATTTGTTTCCTTGAAGAATATTCAAAATGGGAAGTATAAATTTCGTGTTCTTATTTTTCTTTTCGTTCCCTTAATAAATTTTGAAGAAAGTTTCTGGGATAACATGGCCGTGAAAGTGGAGACTGAACCATGAGATGGAAGTGGGAACTGTATGAGATACATGCCCGTAAATGTTAATGTGCTCGATTGAAAATTTAACAGTTATAAAATGGTGGATATGAAGAAATCCCACGATCAGAACAGACCAACCCTTTGGTCCTGTCCACTGTTGAATTGAAACAAAATTTCCAGATTTACGTGACTGGGAGGGTTTACGTATATCATCACCTAATACCAATACTAATAATAATGAGGACAACAGGAGAATAGGTAGGCTTACAGTTATGTTGTGTTACCTATTATGCTTGCTTAAACAACCTTTTAAGTAACACAAACAATTATATCAGTCTTAACTGAAAGCCAAGCTTAGAGCTGCCTTCACAAAAATGAGCATTAATAATCCTTTTGTACTTTACCCTCTATCTATTATACTTCCATTTTGGGTTACAAATGAAATGCATGGAATCCAAAACCAAAAGCTGCACACCACTCGTTTACATCAAACGAAACTCATCTCTAATGAATTGGTGTACTACTTCGAATGGAGTTGGCGGTTGAACGTGACGACATGTCCTCATGTTCACCAACAGACAGACAGGAGGAAAACCTTATAAACCAGACTCCAGCGTACTCATCTTCCTTCTCGTTCTCTTCCAACGACCTTCCGGTGGTCTCTCTGGTGAACAAATACGTCACCGCCACTCCCACCAGACTCGCCCCACCAAGTATTATCAGCGACGCCTGCATCCCAATTCCATTATCCCACCGGTCGTGCGAAGCCCAAAGGAACCCCACGGCCCCGATGATGGCCCCGATTTTGCCAGCCGCGCCGGAGATTCCATGGCAGGTGGATCTGAACCTGGCGGGAAAGAGCTCGGCAGGGAGAATGAAAGTGGTGGTGTTGGGGCCGAAGTTTGAGAAGAAGAATGTGAGGCAGTAGATTACCATGAAGCCAAATTTGTGATCGGAGTCCCAGTATCTGTTGTAGGGAATGGCGATGGCGAAATAGCCAATGCCCATGAAGAGAAACCCCATGATTTGGATTTTGACTCGGCCGAGTCGGTCGATGAAATAGACGGAGACCCAGTAGCCAGGAATGGTGGAACAGACGGCCACGATGGCTTGGAGTTTGGCTTCGTTGAAGGCGTCTTGGTAGACGTTGCGGGTGAGTTTTGGGGGAAGGAATTGGGTGTAGATTCTGGATTGGAAGAGGTTGCTGCTGTAGAACACAACGTCGACGAGGAACCAAGCGGCGGCGCAGGAGAGAAGGTCGCGGCCGTGGCGACGGAGAAATTCGTTGGAAAAGAAGGGGAAACTTGGAGGGGGAGGGGAAACAGGGCTGTCCTCGGTGATATCAGCCAACGTCACATCCAACACCTTCTCCATGTCCTTCGCCGCTTGTGCCACATTCCGCTCAACCAGAGCTGTGTATCTGCCATCAAATCAAATTTGGGCATTTGAAGATGGAATTTCTTTGAAAATCAGCCATTTTGATTTCTTAGAAGCTCAATTCTTGTTCTAAAATTCAATTGCTCCAATAATAGAAAGTGTTGTTATTAAAATAATAAGAAATTAAATTGAAATTTTTTAATTTGTGGAAAAGGATATTTAAAATACTAAATTATGATGATTGATTGCATCAAGAAACATCTACTCTTGAGAATTATTTTTAAGACCAAGAAAGTCAACCGCTCAATTTGGTTGGTCCGATAATTTCCACACGAACTCCAGAGGAAAACAGAAAGGAATTGACCTGGCGGTTTCCGGCATCATCATTCGCCAGTAATAAGTCATCGCCGCCGGAAGAGCGCCGAGCAGGAGAATCAACCTCCAAGCAATATCCGCCCCCATGGGGGTATGATTACTGGGTGGGTAATTGGAGGCCCGATCGAATATGGAGCACACGATCATGGTCACCGTGGAGCTGGCCAAGATCCCGAATCCCTGCATCGAGAACACCGCCGCTATGAACGCCCCACGTGTCTTCTTGTTGGCGAACTCCGACATTATGGTCGCCGACAATGGGTAATCTCCCCCAATTCCCAGTCCCAGAAGGAACCTGAAGAACCCTAGGCTGACAAGGACGCAGCTCCTTGTGGTGCAGATTGAGAACCCGCATCCGATGGAACTCAGCACCATCAGCGCCAATGCGAGTCCGTACACGCGCCGTCGTCCCACTCGATCTCCGAGTATGCCGAACACCACTTGACCCGTGGCGGTGCCGAGAAGGGCGACGGCCAGCATGGCGGATTTGACGGCGGCGGGAATCTCGTATTGTTTGTCCTGGTAGTACACACGTCCTACGAGGGTCGTAACGGGAGTGATGCTGAAGAGATCGTAGGCGTCGGTGAAGAGGCCCATCCCGGCGATGACGATGGCCTTGAAATGGTACAATTGGGTTTTGGCAGTGTCGAGAGCGGAGAGCACTTTGAGGCCCATGGTTAGGATTGAGATTTCAATGGCGGAAGGTTGTGTTTGATTTGATTGGATGGGAGCGTGGACTATTGAGGAAGACGACGAAGCTTTTTGAAGGGTTTCCAGATACCTTGAATATGCGAATCGGGGAGCATTTCTTCCCTGCCTCCATCCCTCAGACTGTTGGGTATAATAATAAATTAAATTATTTAGTTTAATTTGACTTTTTCAAACGGACTCCCCCTGTTCGCAAGTTTGGCATTTTCAAGGTGTGGCGGTGAGGAGCTACATTCACCGGAACAAGATACTGAAAGCGATTAGGAGGGGTGGGCTGAAAGCCGACTTCTGGTCCGCCCAAAACGAGCTCCTTAATGCTTACGCCGCCACTTATGGACCCTTCAGGCTCTGTTTTGCCTCTCTTTCTAATTCATTTTTTGGTTGTAGCAGCATCACACCAAACAGCCTTCTAATTATCTCTTCTTCTTTAATATATCATATATTTCCATTTCTTGGATTCTTAGGCCTATGTGACCTTCCCCTCTCCAATTTTTCTAAACTTCTTTTACGTCTTGCTAATATCTTTCATCATCATCGCTCCAAGTCTTTGAGGCACAACCTCGATACTTTACTTATAAGGTACTACCAACACTAAAATTCGATACTTTTTTATTCGAGTTTGGGTCCTTGGGACCCTCCTCCCATAGGCCCTACATTAAAAAGAAAATAAAAGAAAAAAAAAGTTCGATTTAGTTGGGTCGAATTGAGTTAGACCAGTCCACTTTGGAGTCGGCCAGCGTCAATGGTTGCCTAGAGTTATATGAACAAATCTACAAATATCATATATAAATAAATAAATAATCATTACTTAAAATGAAAATTTTTAAAGTCCAAAAATTCTATGGATACTTTAAAAAAACTTAATTTTTAACGCAATACCACTTTTGAGTTAAAAACGAAATAGGCTGGATCTTAAATTCTCTGGAAGACTTGGTTTTCTCTGAGTTTTCGTCGAAGTCGCTGATACTGTCTGTAATTACTCCCAATTTCGATCTCACCAGATGCATTTGAGCGCCAATGAAGGCATTGAAGCCAACACCTTCGTTGTTACCGGCGCACTGGGCTTCGTCGGCTCCGCCCTCTGCTTAGAGCTTGTCCGCAGAGGTGCTCTCCAGGTCCGAGCCTTTGACCTCCGACCAGCTTCTCCTTGGTCCGACGACCTCAAGATTCACGGAGTCAAAATCATCCAAGGTTCATTCCTTTCTGCAATTAGGTCCCCCTTTTACTGTTTGTTTTGCGATTAGCCTTAGAGGCGCGACTATAATCTTTCATCTGTACGCATGCACTTCGATCATCCTGGCGCTACTTGCCTCCATTGAAATCTTTTTATGGCTTTCATTCCTTTCCCCTAGAACGGTCTTGTCGGAATTTTCGATGATTTGCATATTCAGTAATGCGTATCTGCTGCAATCTCTCTAGTAATTAAAAGTAAACTTGAGTACAACACACTAGGCTTCTCTCGATGTTAACTCTTGCAGTCATGTAGGGGATGTTACCTGTAAAAAGGATGTGGAAAGAGCTGTTCGTGGTGCTGATTGTGTATTCCACCTGGCGGCATATGGATTGTCAGGGAAAGAAATGCTTCAAGTTGGTCGCATCGATGAGGTTAATATTAATGGAACATGCCATGTCTTGGATGCTTGCCTGGAGTACGGCGTTAGGCGGCTTGTTTATATGAGCACGTATAATGTAGTGTTTGGAGGTCAAGAGATTGTTAATGGCAATGAGGGATTACCTTATTTCCCAATTGATGATCATGTTGATGCATATGCTCGAAGTAAATCCATTGCAGAACAGTTAGTTTTGAAGACCAACGGACGCCCCTTAAAGTAAGTCAATTTTCTAGGATATATATAGATATATAGCTATCTTCGTAACTTCCATGGTATTGGGATTGCTCTTGGTGCAGTCATTAGGATATCTTCTGATGTGACTGAGGATTTGTGAAAGGAAAAATGAAATTTGATTAAATAAAACTTATAGCATCCATCCAAGTTGTCATTGCATTTTTACAATGCCCATGCCATTATTTTCTTGCTCGTGCTTTTCATTTGTAGGAACAGGAATGGCAAATGTCTTTACACCTGTGCTATACGTTCTTGTGCTATCTACGGACCAGGGGAAGAGAGGCATTTTCCTAGGTTGGTCTCCTTGGCAAAGTTAGGCTTGCTACACTTTAGGGTTGGGAAGCCAAGTGCTAAAACTGACTGGATCTATGTGGATAATCTCGTGCTGGCTTTGATATTGGCATGCGTGGGGCTTTTGGACGACATTCCCGTTAAAGGAGGAGCCCCAGTAGCTGCTGGCCAGCCATATTATGTATCAGATGGTAGCTCTGCACCCTTCCTTACTTTTCACAACCCTCCCCTCCACACTATGTAGTTTGCTTCAATATGGTGCTGTTTTGTTTCCATCACTAGACGATGGGGCTTTGCTGACAATCTCTCTATTTGCATCAGGTTGTCCAGTTAATTCTTACGAATTTATTAAGCCTCTGCTCAATAGCTTAGGTTATGACTTGCCAAATTCTTACCTGCCTGTTCCTAAAGCTCTTCTCTTGGGGAAATTTTTTGCTGTATTGTACACAATATTATATCCATGGCTGGATAGATGGTGGCTTCCACATCCCCTGATGCTTCCTCCTGAGATTTATAAGGTTATTACTATTATTTTTGTTTAATGTTGCACCTGCAAACATGCAAATGGTCTTGCTGATGTTTGGATATCTAATTGCAACCAAATTTTGAGGAACAATTACACGGTCAAATCGTTCTTTCCTTCACCATCTCTATAATGCTCCTTAATAATGTAGAGAATGCTTCCATGCTGAATTCCTAATGAACTCCTCTGAATCCTAATTAGTTTGCATATATCGTGCAGGTTGGCGTGAGTAATTATTTCTCGTATCTTAAAGCCAGGGAGGAGCTGGGGTATGTACCAATGGTGACACCAAAGGAGGGCATGGCTGCGACCATCTCATATTGGCAGAAGAGAAAAAGGAAGAGTCTCGATGGGCCAACAATATATGCGTGGCTGTTCTGTGTTGTCGGAATGAGCATCATGTTTTGTGCTGCGTTCCTTCCAGACGTAGGACCTGTTCCATTTTTCAAAGGCATCAGCCTTTTCTTCTTTAGGTCAATTCAAGTGGTGAGAATGGTGTTTCTTATAGCCTTTCTACTGCATGTTGGTGAGGGTACTTATGCATGGTTCTTAGCCAGAAAGGTGGATCCTGCTAACTCAAGGGGATGGTTTTGGCAGACTTTTGCTTTAGGCTTCTTCTCCTTGCGCTTATTGTTGAAAAGAGCAAGGAGTTAAAGGGGCAGTCCCTATGTGTTGTTAGCAAACGAGAGATAGCTGAAGAAGAAAAGTCCCGTTTGTAATAATACTCTCTCTTTGAGACTATTTAGCTTCAAAGTAGTAGCGCAATAATTGAAATGAACACATCATTTGATTTGTAATGCCATCACTATCAAAACAAAACACAACTATTTCACGTCTGTTCTTTCCAAGCCAACTCAAACTGGAACTAGAGTAACATTAGACAACAGAACACCAGATTCCATGTTAGCCCCCGCCATGTTAACAAATCAAGTGAGTTAACGAAGCAACCTCGAGTTTCACATCCAAGATACAGTGTTATTATTGCAGGCTCCAGCACTGTGGTTAAATGGACTCCCAGGCCCTCCCGAGGATTCACTGAGAGTACCGACTGATGGCGGGCTGCTGCTAGTTCCCGTCATTCCAGCACGGATGGGAGCAAGTTTATGGGGTGCAGTAAAAGGCGGCTGTTCTATTTGGTCTGCTTGCCTCAACTCCTTGTGCCCCCCATCAGTGATGAAGCTCCCCATGACTACCTGGTAATCCGATAGTGACAATGAAAAGCATTCTAATAACACCATACATAGGGCTATAAAAGATGTATATGAACGCTCTCATGGGGAAAGTTAATGTATCTGAACAGGAGTTGCAGCCGTTAGAAGACCAGCCACCCCACCACCTATGTCCAGATAATGAAACACTTAGACCTCCAGTTCGACTCCGCTGAGTGCCATTCTCGGAGAAGAGATATGATCCAGATAGAGACAAAATCTCGAATCGCCCCTGTATAACACATAAATTCCATCTGGTTTAAGAAAAGGAAAGAAGAAGGTCTATTTACAGGCATGAAGATGGGGACACTACGAAATTATGATCCAGGCAGGCATACGTTGAACATTCAAAAGAGAAGTAGAAATTATCAAACCTGGTAAGTGACGGTTCCAGCACACATGGCTGGTTGACGTAGAGTCACATTGGATATTGCACCATTTGCTGTAAGGATACAAAGAGCTCTAGGCCCATTCTGGGAAAATGACATTATTTTCGAACAGACATCCTGGAAAACATTTACGTCTCCTTATTCTCACTCAACTATTCAATTTCAGAAAAGTAAAACACACAAAAATATGAACCTCTCCAGCTTCCACGGTGATGACATGTGGGGTAAATCCAACTCCTGATGACCCTACAATTACAATTATACAATATTTCAAGCTGTAATCACAATATCAGAGTCCAAATCGAGCCCCCAAGAATAGAAACTCTGCATTTGAAGGGAAAACACCCAATTTTGACCACATTTGCAGCAGAGGCTAAAGATTTTGAAAGTTTTCTTCATGCAAATCAATGATGAAAGTGATATGGATGACCAAAGAGATAGAGAAAGCAATGGGGACGAACACAATGCAACTATCTTAGATATCAAGAACCAGAATCAGTTAACTACCAACACTAGACGCCAATTAATGCCAAAGGGATGCGGAATAAGTAAGTTGCTTCTTGTTGGTAGAGCCAGGGGGTCTCCCTCTGGCTTTCTTCAAACAATTTGGCCCAGAGGTGGGAGGAGGAGAAAAACCTCCACTGGACTGAGTTGCGACGGCAGAGGGAACTGCAGGAGGCAGCGCCATACTGCCATCTGGGCCATACTTCCTAGGCCTCCCTCTCTTCCTCTTTACAGGCTCGCCTTGCGCATTCATGTCAACGATTCACGGGCAGATTCACCGGCACCAGCATTACCAGTAACTCCGACGATGGAGGGCTGGTAGGTGGGAGAGGCGGCGGCAACGGGGTTGTAGAGGCCGTCGGTGCCAACGGGCGAATGCATGCCCGGCAAAACCGGCTGTTGCGATTGTACTGAACTCATCTTAAGAGCCGCCACTGAGGAAGAAGAAAACCCGCATCATTGAGTAAGAAATTATTTTCCAATTTTGAATTTCACAGTAAAGATTCTCCAAAAATACAAATAAATAAATAAACAAAGACTGCAAATAAAGGAATAAGACAGAAATTGGGGGAAAATGAGCAAAAAAATCCAATACACCTACCAAATAATACAGGAAAATTAGCGGACATGAAAAACAAAAAGGGGAAACAAATTGAAAGGCTTCAGAACCAGAACCTCAGCTTCAAGGGTTCCGATTTTTTTTTTTCAACAGGCGGGACTCCTCCTGCTGCTAACTTTATAAATTTGAATTTCAAAAACATATTGTCGCTGGGGACAAGTAACATGACCGGCTCTCAATTCCTTTTTTGTGGAGAAAGGGCGAGAGAGAAATGGAGAAGGTGCCGACCACTGTTTCAGCCCCATGGTAGACTATATGCAAAACTGTGTGTCACACCCACCAATCAAATAGCTAAATTTTATAAAAAATTCAAATCTCACATAACTAATTATCCTCACAAGCTTTAAAATTGTAATTTAATTTTTTTGAAAAATAAATATTGAGTTCGAAAATAATTTGTATATATTTTTTCTCACAATCAAATAATCCTATGTTAAAAGATAGAGTCCATTGACGATATTGAACAACAAAATTAACTATTCATGACTAAGCTCATCACAATTAAAGAGAACATTAATGTAATTTGGAATGATATTGGAGGGATGGAAATGAAAATAGAAACAAATATACACATGTTAGGTGCGATTGGTTTAATTGTCAAAACATCTAGTGGTTTCAATTAATAAAATAGGTTGTCATTATCTTTTGATCTTACATTATAACGACACTGTTTTTTTTTATTTTCTCTTCCTTATCAACTTAACAGCAACCTTAATATTTTATCATGAAAATTTTGAGAAGTCTCTCGTTTTTTATTATCATATTTTATCACTCCCTAAATAGTTTTGGCCTTGATCTCAAAATTTCCCTAAATGAAAATGGCATAACTCGGCCTTTGAAGGAATATGCAGAAGTATGCAGGAGTATGAAGAAATCTGTAGAAGTATGAAAAAGTATGAAGAAATAATCAATCGGGTTTTTAGGGCAAATATTTCTCTCTCTTTACTCGGTCGACGTTTTTACTCTCAATTGTCAGACATCAACAATAACATTTAATTAACTGCTGAAGGAGAAGTTTTGAAATATTTATTCGGCGAGTCTTTATTCACTTTCTTTTTATTGTTTTGAAATATTTGTTAGTATAAATTCATATTTCATGGATATTAAAGGAGAAGTTTTGATTTGCTTGATGCAAGTAATTACCTTAACGCAAAGGGTGAAAGGACAAAACTTTTGCTTCTTCCCGAATTCCAATTCAGATACGAGAAACTGTTAATGGAGGGATTACACTTGTTGGTGTCACTGAGGCAGAGGTTTGCAGCACGGAAAAAATGACCTCACTTGTCTCATAGTTTATTAGCACGTGCAACTGGAAGTACTAAGAAATGATCTCCTTTTACATTATTATAACAATTTCCTAAAATTACAGCATGTTGAAGGTATAAGAAACCAAATGATGATGTTGCACTCTGAAAGACATTGGACAAAATTCATTTTTATAATGTATTAAAAGTATGAATATGGTCTCTTTTTACATTATGTGACAATCAATCACATGCCATCTTCATTATTACCATGGAGCAAAAGAAAAAGCTTGGGAAAAGCATGTCTCATAATGATACATGCGATGACATTTTATGTACAAAGCTCAATTTGGTGGACCCTAAAATGATACATCCTGTTTTCATGTAGCTAGTTGACCCTAAAATGATAGGTTTGTAATTAAATCTATTATCTGTTTTCAAGGAGTTCATATCAATAAAGGCGTTTTGACTCTCTGCAACATCACAAGTGCAATGGGAGATGAGAAGAAACGAAGAGAAGAGTGTCATGTTTCCTACTGTGATAGTAAGTTCTTTATTTTTCAAAATATACTTTGAAACTTGATATTTTTGTATGTATTTTCCATAAACTTTTTGATCCAGCATTAACTTAAATTTGGCTTTGCTGGTTTGCGCCGATATTGGTTAAGGTTAAATTGGTTAAAACAATTAAATTGTGAGGGGTTAACGGGCTTCCAGATCAAGTAGTCATCAGGTTGTCAGACCTTTGACTATAATCTTTGTTCACTGTGTTAGAGATAAAGAAGAACTCGGCTTTGCAGAAGTATGCAAAAGTATGTCGAATTACAGTATGTAGAAGTATGAAGAATTAATGCAAAAGTATGCAGAAGTATGATGAAGAATGTAAAAGTATATTGGACTACAATATGAAGAAGTATGCATAAGTATGTCGGACTACAGTATGCAGAAGCATGACGGATTAGTGGATGCATAATTTGAGGGCTATAACGCTACTATTATTGCTTATGGACAGGTTGAACGTTTATGTTGTTCTAGAGTTGTGTTTCTTAAATAGTTTTTAGTTTGACTTAAGTTGTTGTAGTTTGTTGTTGTAGACTCTCGAAAAAATTACAAATGAGGACCAACTATATTGGTGAATGAAGTAATGATGGAGTAATACCTAAGGTAATGGAGAAAATATTTGAGAAGGTCGATGCAACGAAGGATCCTATAGAGTTCTTGATTAGAGTATCATTTATTGAGGTAGCATTAACTGACGACTAAATTGCTATTCAGTTTCGTTTTGTTGTTTTGAAATATTTGTTAATATAATAAATTCATATTTCATGAATATGATAATAATAGATATTAAAGGAATAAGTCTTTGATTTGTTTGATGATAGTAGTTGCCGTAACAAGAGGGGTGAAATGACAAAACTTTTTACTCCTCCACGAGTTCTAATTCAAATACGAAAACTGTTAATGGAGGGTTACACTTGTTGGTGTCACTGAGCCAGAGGTTTGTAGCACGGAAGAAATGACATCTCACTTGTCTTGTGGTTCATTAGCACGTGCACCTAGAAGTACTAACCTAATAGTTAATCAAGGTATAGATTTGATGAAATTCTTATTTTATGTTGCTAACTTTCACATTGATTTTGGCTCTCAAATTCATTTTCGGTGAAGAAAGAGAGAGGGAGAAAGAGAGTTAGTCATAGATGCATTCCAGAAGCATGAGAAGGTCGGAGTAAGGGTGTACATGGTCCGAGTTGGGTCGGGTTGAGAGATTTTTTTGACCCAACCCAAAAGTTCGGGTTGGTTGGATTGGAAACCTAACCCGACCCAAAAATTTTCACAACTCAATCCAATCCAACCCTCTATTTTCGGGTTGAGTTCTCGGGTTGTTAACTTTGTTTTAAGTTTTTTAAAAAATTTTTTATTTATTCACCGTTCATATTTATTTTATATAATCTTAGATAAAAAAATATTAAAAGTCTACGAACAAATACAAATCAATTAATAATTATTAAAAAAAAATCATCAACAACAATACAAAAAAGAAATAACATCTCAACATAGGATAAATTATGAAATTAAAAAGTGATTGGAAACGGTAGGAATAGATTATAAAATTAAAAAACAATATAAATGATTAATTTAAAAAAATTATATATATATATATATATATATAAAATAAAATACCTTTAAAATCATATTAAATAATTTATCATAAATCATATTTTTAAATTAAAATAAATTATAAAATTAAAAAACAATATAAATGATTAATTTAAAAAAACTATATATATATAAAATAAAAATACCTTTAAAATCATATTAAATAACTAATCCTAAATCATATTTTTAAATTAAAATAAAATGGTGTGATTTATTCGTATATTCACATAGTACAAAAATGAATAAATAGATATTTGTTAATTTATTTACATTATAAACAATATGTTTAAAAATAAAATAAAATATTGAGGTAATTTTTTTTGTTGATTTATTTACACTATAAATAATGTGGGTAAAATATATAATTAATTAAAAAAACTATATATATATAAAATAAAAATATCTTCAAAATCTTATTAAATAACCTATCATAAATTATATTTTTAAATTAAAATAAAATTTATAAAGTGTGATTGGTTCGTTTATTCCTATTATAACCCTATTATAAAATCAATAAAAAGATATTTGTTAATTTATTTAAGGTTAAAAAACAAAATAAAATATTTTTAAAGAAACTATATATATATATATATAATAAAAATACCTTTAAAATCATATTAAATAACCTATCATAAATTATATTTTTAAATTAAAATAAAATTAATAAAATGAAATGCGGAATTTTTAGAAGTTTTAAATTATTATTAAATTATTTGAATATATTTTTTAGAAGTTTCCGAATTTAATGAGTCCAATATTCTCACTCCTAAAAATAGGTGTTATTAATAATTATTTGAATATGTATAATATTGATCTGAGCCAATTAAATAGGTGGTTATAATTGAGCAATAACACATGAAATTTGGAGGAAATCTAATAATAATTAGGACAAAAATAAAATAAAATAAAATCCGAAAATATAAAGTTGGGCCTGATGGCGAAAACCGATAATTATGCCCAAAAATCCAGGTTGAGGAACTGTCGGGGAGGCAGGACTCATTCTGTTGCTAACTTGGCTCTCAATTCATTTTGCGTGGAGAGAGAGAGAGGGAGAGAGACGATCTATTGTGATTGCATACGGCAGAAGGCTCACCTCATGATCAGGGTCCAGGACGAGGCAGAGGTCGGGGCCGTTGTGGCAGAGGAAGGTCTAGGGGTAGAGGTATGCAGATTTTGATTTTGTTTATTCTTCTTAATCCCTTCATTATGTTGTTGTTTATGGAAGGGTATGACTTTTATCATTTTATGGCTAGTTGTAGTTAATCTAGTTTCTTGCTTCAAGAAGTGAAGAGCATGTATGACCGCTAACAATTTGTTTTTATTTTATAATGATGTTGGTTTTAGGACCCCCGTTAATGGCTTTGTGGGTAACAAGCTTCTTGTATTTTATCTTCAGCCTTAACATTTTATTATGAAAATTTAAAGATATCGGTTGTTATTCTCACATTTTATCCCTCTTCAACGGCCCTTTGGCCTTGATCTTAAAATTTCCTTTAAGATTGGAGAATGGAATTGTACCCAATCTCGATTGTCCTTAACCGACAACAACCACCCACAGTTCATTAACACACGCCACCCTGTAGATTGTGTTTCTGAAGTTGTGAAGGCTGAAATGAAAGGGTTTGGGTGTACGGGTACCTCTGCTCTTAAACAACATTTTGAAAAGAAGGTCCATAAATTGGAGCAAGAAGAGAGAGTTTTACAGGTCATTTCTGTATCCAAAATATACACTCAACTGTCGTCATATATGTACACATATTTAGCTTTTATCTTGTTTTTGTTTTTGTTTTTGTTTTTGTAGAAAGAGACGGAGGAACTTAGATGTAAGTTTTCGAACATATTGTCTACATCTTGATGACGGGGTGCAAAAGTTGAAGCAAGAATATCTTCAGAGATTGAATGTTGTGGAGACCCAATTTCGTTTTTAGTCAAATTTCAAAATGTTATGCGAAAAGAATTTTAGGAAATCTTGTTGTTTCTTTCTTCACGCCATGTCAAATGCCAATTGTTGTTTTAAATGATTTATTTACGCAGGTTGATGGATGTGAAACAAGGGCAGAACAAGGAAGGGAAAACCGTTCTTTACTTGGTGTTTGAATGCATGGCTACTGATCTGAAAAATTCATCAAGACTACCCGTCTATTTGCTCTTCGCCCCTCTCCTTCCTAAACAATTAGTAAAGAAAGCAATGGAGCATCCCTATTTTGATGTCTTGAACAGGACCATATCTCTGAGTGATGCTGTGTTGAATGAAGATTTAGTTGCTGAAACAAGCTTGACGGGTTCATACTTCAACATTTGCTACAAATTATATTTTCGATCTACTTGAGAATATATTATTATATTTTATTTCTTAGCAAACGACACAGATGTAGCCCATTATCATCCAAATATTTGACCGCTTGTTGAAGGTTTTTGCGGGTTCCATTGAATTAATTTGTCACACCAGGCCACACCTCTTCATTTGATGTCCCTGCTACAAAGTTCCAACCTCTTTTAAAAAAGAAAAAAACACTTGTTAAGTCAACAAGACAACAAGAAAACAAGAAAGCAGTGACATCCGCTGAAAGTATGAAGGAAGTCGATCACTGCTCTCTTGAACTTTTGATAGGAGAATGGTTGCTTTTCTCAAGCAAAAATTTGCAAGTATATTGGGAGGGATAACTAAAAGGATGACACCAGGTTTTAATTGGTACCTTTTGCTGTGAAGAAATGAGTTGCTTTTGAGCTATTTTGTCTGACAAAATTACTAATGTCTCTTCCCTGTTCTGTTTTTGAGTTACTAATGGATGATGTTTGGTTTGGCGTCAGATCTACAATTGTCCCACAATCCACTAATGTGCCCATTAACAAATGTTTATTTTGTAGATAGAAGACTTTTTAACATTGCCCAAGTTCATCTTTTTGAAAGAATCAACAACCACTGCCACTAAAACTTATTAAATTCATTAAACAAAATAGCTGAGATGCTGATGAGTGGTGTGGGGCATTGCTTTTTTTTGTTTCTGTGTGATGTCCTCGAGAGTTTTATATTTTAGGCCCTATAAATACTAAAAGCTTTGTAATGTAAACAGCACGTTGAAATGTAACTTTTATTACTTATAAATGAATGAATAAATGTAACCACAAAAAGGTTTGTTGTAAAGAGCCTACTTACTATACGCGCATGCTGCCTATCTCTAAGTAAGCTCTTACATTTCTGGTGGACATGGCGTAAGATCCGGAGGACAAAAGTTTGATGAAGTTTTGTTGCCGTTGTTGATGGAGAATCAATCAACCCACGAGCCACATGAAGAAGGTGGACCAAAGTGTGAGTGAAACTGAAGCTAAGGCGTATGTCCACAGCATAATAACGGAGCATTCTGCCTCTCCTGCTCCGAACAATTGAGTGATTGTTCCTGAATGCAAAATACCATTGGTTTTCAATAAGAACATACACAATTCACAGCCAACAGGCAGAGTATTATGTTTTTTTACCAATGTTCATTGCAGGGGGAACTGCAAATTGAAGCAGAAGAACAAACAGATACAAGGGATCGGTTCCCACCCAACCAAAGTTTGCAGCTCCTCTCACAATCAAAATTCCGGTCAGAGGCAGTGCAACATAACGAACAAAAACAATACCGACGACGATGGATTTCTTCAACTCCGAATCCGATCCTCGCAAACCTGGACATTCACCAAAACAATGCATAATTCCCTTTTCCAGTTTTGAGACTATAGCTGGTTTATATTCATATACTTCAGTTGTTGTACCTCTTAGAAGGTTCCCTCCTACGATTAGTGTCACAGTTGGAATGGCTCCATCTCTGCAGTCACATGGAGCATTTAAAATCCTCAAACTAAAAGATGAATATTGGGTGATCTGCTTACAATGCTACTAGAGAGAATAACATTGTTTCAAGAAAATTTGATACCCCAACAAGGCAGCCGAGTCATCGATCACACGCAGAGGCGCATCCGCACCGATCAACAAGTTTCGAAGTTGAGGGATGAGGCCAATCACAAAGCCAGCAATCTGTATAGAGACAAGAGCATGATGAGTATGTTGGAATGTATATATCAGATATGAATACTCAGTTCATGTCGGCACATACCGCTCCAGTTGTTGAAGGGGCAAACAATGCTTTCAAATTAAGCGATTCAATGAATGTCCTTATTCTGACTGCAGCAGAAACCTGCCATTGCATTTGTATAACGTGTTATATTACTTAACTCCAAAATGTTAAAATGAGAATGAAAGCAATGATGGGCAAGAAGGAACATTCCAGAGAACACCTCATGTTTGGCTTCCGAAGAGAAGATGACTTCATCGTCCTCCAAAACTAATAATTTCTGAGAAGAATCATCATCATCATCAAGTGATTGATTGTGAATCAATGGCTCCTCTATCAACGAGGCTTCGGAGCATCTAGCACTGATGGGCAAGTCATTAAACCTGGGATCAGCGGCGGGCCTCCTTGAAGACACTCGAACAATATTGTATACAAATGACCATAAAAAAATGGCTCCTATCTGAAATGCATCACCAAAGGAGCTTACAGTTAAGTTAATAAACAAGCAATTACACAAAGCCTCGCAACATATGAAAATATGAAAATAGAATGATTTGAAGGGAACACACCGCCATTGAAAGTGAAGCATAAGCCAATCCATAAGTGGTGCAGACGTTGGAGGCCCCAAACGGGCTTCCCTTTTCTTTACAAACCGCGGGTAATATAATCAGAAAAATGTTGCCCAAATTTCCTGTTCAATCATCAAGAAAAGCAAAACCCCGTGGGTTTAGGTTGAAACAGAGAATATGATGCGAAACAAGGGAAGAGGGGGAGGGGAGTTTTACCAGCGGAGCAGCACCCCAAGATGAGACCCCGGAGATGAGGAGGTGGGTTGGTCAATTGAATCACAATCCAACCAAATAGAGATCCCACTACGAAAGTTATGAGGATGTTAAAAGGCATGAACCACCTGTGCAAACACAACAGAGCATTCAATTTTGAGGAGCCACAGATGTGTCAAATTCAAATCTGAAATCATTTCCAGAAACACACACATCTTGACCATGCTGTGATATGTAATGGTTTCAGCAAGGTTGGAGGAGACGAGCGCGGGATTGAAGACGTAAAAAGTGACCTGTGGAAAAGAAAGCATGAATCGAGGAAGGCGAAGATAGAGGCAGGAAAGGAAAAGGGAATAAGAGTGCTAACTTCATTCAAATACTTTCTGGCGTCCGGGCCCAAGATGTTGATGTGTGGGAGAGCCAGGTAAGAGCCAAGCGCTGTAATCAGAAGCACTTTGAGAACGGGAATGGAAGCGGCAATAAAGAGGCCGAGGAAGTTCATGGCTGGGGTTCCAGGCTTGGTGTGAGGGTGAAAGATGGAACACAACAAGATTGAGGGGAAGGGAAAAGGGAATGGTTGAGGGATTTGTCAAAAAAAGTATGGTGGTATTGGTTTAAGAAGCAGATCGGAAGCTGGTGTTGTCCACTAGAAGGATCAAAATCATGGCCCTCAAACCTTCACGCTGAAAAAGCGTGGACAAGTTTCTCGCTCCTTAAAAAAGAAAAAATAACCTAAACTGTGTCAAATCCCCACGTTTCGAAAGTTTCCGTAGATTCCTTTTCCATTTTCTTTTTCTTTTTCTTTTTTAAACAAATTTATTCTTATATGAATCAAAAGGCTGCGGGACAGGGGAAAGCAAATTTGGACTTTGATGCAGGAATCGTCGTCTACGTTTTTTTTTTTGTCATTAATATTTAATATACATATATATATATATATATATATATATACCCCAAATTTTCCTGCATATTTTTATTTTTTTTATCCTACTAAAATATTAATAAATTCAACAATTAAATTTTCTTTTATTCATTTTAAAGCATTACAAAACTTGGGGGTACTTCATGTTTTTTTTTAATGAATATTCATCTCACATAGTCATAATGCCCTATATAATTCACATGTCATGTCACTTTTTTTCATAGCAACCATAAGTGTCACATTTATAATCTTAATTATCCGCCAAATTACCAAAAGATTTTGTTTTTTAATTTTCTATCCATCATTAATGTCTATTCATTTGGTAAAGTAATTTTATATTTGTCATATGCATGCATGACTAACAATCATTAATGTCTATATTATTTGCGCATGCTTAAAAAATTCATGTCCATGTCATGCATGAGACCTAAACAATATCATATGTCATTAGAAAATGGAATAATCGGGAATCTCGAGTAGCATGGATCCAGACTCCTTTGTATCGAATTACAAAAATAAAAGATTCAAGTTATTAAAAAAATGGATGAAATTTTGGAAACCACAACTAAAATAATCATTATCGTTTAAAAGAGAGTAAATCCTCTCCATAATGATTTTTAATATATGTGACCTCACAAGAACAATGACTAACTAAACGAACAAAAACAAATCAACGGTGACTCAGATCGTGGGACTTCATGCAAGACCATCCAGCTAACTTAGCAAGTTGGAACAACAACGGATCCATACGCTTACCCACTTGATGAACAACGTCGTTCCAGACGCAAGCTTCCTCCATGAACAACAATGTGAAGCCCGGATGATTCAAATCATCTTCCTTCGCTTGGCTGCATAAGAAGAAGCCTACAAGGAAAACCATTATCTCATAGTGGAAACAACCAAAATATTCAGAAGGATAAGGAAGGACTTTCTGACTACTCTCCTCTGGGAGGGAGGAGGCCATCGGGGCAGGAATCATAAACCCGACCACAGACCTCCCACCACCTCCTTAATTGCTTCCGTCCGAGCAGGGTTTGGCATAGGCTTTCCCAAGATTTCACAAACCTGCAATCACAAATGCCTGTGGTTGACAAAATTTGCGCTCGATCATTTCAATTAAGTACGAAACGATCAATCATTCTTATTTCGGCAATCTCTAGGTAGTTCGGTTACGAAGTAGAGGAAGAAATATGGTTCCCAGAGCTCACCCATTATTCTTTCTACTCGAGTTTTCTAAAAAGAACAGAACAAAACAAACAAAAAAAACAATCCACTCACAATACTATTCCTAGAATAGAAATGGGAAACAAAGAGAACGGAAAGGAAAGAACAATTTCAAGAAATGATTGGATCCCAGCAAGTTTGCCTACCACAATGAGGTTAGAGATTCTTGACAAGCACAGCAAATTGGTAGAAACGTCTAAGAATCTAAGGATCAGATAAAAGGCAACATTCTGAAAACTGGAAATATTTAAATTATGAAATACAATACTTGTATGGGCGATCAACAATTCAAGATATGAATTATTTCATAAACCAGATATGATAACCGTGACCTTCTATAACTTGAGGGCACCAACTTGAGGACTTTCAACATCCCAGCTGAAAATCAGATCACGAAGATCAAGGAAGAAAACCAATTGGCGGCAGCATTCTGAATTAAACCTGGAAAAAGGAAAAAGAAAATTCAAATAAACCCAAAAGAATGATAATAGACTCTAATAGATGAAATATGGTAACAATATCGCCCCGCTGGAGCATTGAACAAATTGAGCAAGGATGTCTGGAACCCTGACGCAAAGGGTGGCGCACCATAATTGCATCTGATAGCCACTATTGCAAGGTAAGAGTGAAGAGACAATATTGAACATGCGATCTAGGTATGGTATATAACATCCCTCGCACCATAGGAAAAGAAAAACAGAACAAAAATCAAAAGAGGAGAACATTTAAATATGTATATTAATGTTATCTTACATCTAAGCCAAAATTATACAAGATATTAGAAGACTAAGAAGAATTAGAAATCGAGAGAATACAACGCTCCTGGCTAAGCTAATAGATTTTTTGTTTCTCAATTTGAAAACAGCAAAAAAGAAAGGGAGGAAAAGCACGTGAAACGTGCATATTTCCAGCAGTAGAGGGATTCAAGTAAACCATGCCTTCAAAGTAAAGATCAAGTTCTCACACTTAAACAACTGAGTATCTGCCTGGTTGTGATCCACCGGGAAGTGACAATGTTTGGTTTGTAATATCCTCAAGAACGCGTTTTAACTCAGCTTTAGCTCTCTTAACAGATTGTTCAGTTGGACCTTCAATGAACAAGTATAGCTTGCGCTCTCCAGGTCCAGCAATCTTGCCAGGTGGGAAAAACTGCCCCCTAGTAGTAATAGCAGCTCCAGTCCACTCTGAAATTGGGCCCAGAGTCTCCTTATGGGTTACCTTCCATCGAGCATTCTGTGGAAAATCGTTAATTTCCAATTCTGCTTCATAGTGTTCAGGTATTGCACTAGCTTGAATCTTGGCCAGGTTGTGCTGCAAGTTCATTGCAGCTGCTAATGCTGCCCTTGCAGCGGCCCCATCATTAGCAACTGCAGGCAATGTTGCACCAGGAATAACTGCTGTTGTTCCTGGAATTGCAAGCCCAAGAACACCGGGTAGAGAAACAGGTAATCCGCCATTTGGAAGTAGCTGAGCAGCAGAGCTGGGAGTTGTGATGGAAGCTGCACTGACTTTAGTGGCAGCTGCTATAGCAGCTATTTGGGCCAAAGCTGCCTGCTGCGAGATATCGCCACCTGCCTTCCGGACACCATCATCTTCGTCTTCTGAATCTGATTTGTCCTCCTCAAAACCATATTCTTTAGCTTGCGCTTTCTTTGCTGCCCTCCTCACTTCATCTTCTTCCTCATTAAATTTGAATCCACTGCCACCATATCCAGTTCCATGGGCCTGCTCCAGTCCCTGATTAACCTTTGCCATGAAACTATCAGCAAGTGCTCTCAGATCATTAGGAACAACTTGCTCGGAGAGTTCCAATGCTTTCACAAGATCTGGTGCATATCTTGAATCTTCCTCGGCAATAAATGTGATAGCGCACCCTTTACGACCAGCTCGACCTGTGCGACCAACGCGATGAACATAATCTTCATAGTGGTTTGGAACGTCAAAATTGATCACTAGCTCCAGCTCCTTGACATCTAAACCCCTGGCAGCAATACTAGTTGCAATTAACAAGTTGCACACATTGCTTTTGAAATCGGATATGGTGGACTCACGATCAGTCTGATCCTTGGCTCCATGGAGTGAGAGACAAGGGTAACCATGCTTAAGGAGATCCCTAAAAAGGGCATCACATTTTTCCTGTGAATGGACAAAAATTAGAATCTTGCCCTTCTCATACCATTCTCCCAATAGCTCTAACAGTCTCAAGAACCTCTCATTTTCGGGCCTCACTTCAACCAGCTGTGTGATGTCCTTATTCACAACACTCCTCCCACCAACCTGTATTTCAACAGGCTTGTTCAACACTTTGCGGGCCAAAATTTCAACCTGACGAGGAAAAGTAGCAGAAAATAGTACAGTTTGACGGTCTGGTCGAATATTTTGAACAATTCGAGTAATCTGAGGTTCAAAACCCATGTCAAACATCCTATCAGCTTCATCCATAACCAAATATGTAACTCTACGCAGATTTGTTATTTTCCCTGCACTAGTGCAGAGTATATCAATCATCCTTCCAGGAGTACAAACTACTATTTCAGTGCCACGCTTAAGCTCACTAATTTGTTGGGCAACGCCAGAACCTCCATATACAGGCACACACCTTAGACCCAGAACCTTTGAAAATTTCTTTATATCACTATGGATCTGCTGGACCAACTCTCTGGTAGGAGCCATGATAAGCCCGATAGGACCATCACCGGGTACAACAGGTGGTTGATCCTTGATATGCCTCAGCATTGGAAGAACAAATGCAAGTGTTTTTCCAGATCCAGTTTTGGCAATACCTATGCAATCTCGACCACTCATGACTATTGGCAATGCCTGAGCTTGTATCGGCATTGGTTTCTCATAGTTAAGTTTTTTAATCATTTCTAAAATTTTACTCGCAAGTCCAGTTTGATGCCAGGTTTTAACAGGCTTCGGAACATCCTTTCCGTGTATCTTCAATTCCAGTTGCTTCCGATAAGCAGCAACTTCTTCAGAAGTCATCCTCAATATCTCCTTCACTTCAATATAGAAGTTTTTTCGGAAAGGTTGATAATCCATCTTTGAATGGTCCACAATAGAGAGCTTCTCAGCCTTTGTCTTCTTGACCCTTTTCATGAACTCATCATCATCTTCATCTTCTACAGTATCTGCATCATTCTCAAGATCTCCATAGTCTGTGTCAGAATCTTCACCAGGAATTATTCTACCCATTGATTTATTGGAAGTTCTTCTTTGGGGTTTACCACCACTTTGATCACTTGATTTGTCTCTGTTCTTCAACTCTGCAAATTTATTATCATTAATTGTGGGGGCCTCGATTTTGTTTAGCTTCTCCACTTCAGGCAATACCATGGAGTTCATGAAAGCATCCAGAGGATCAATTTCCTCATCGCCTGCATCACCATTACTGCTATCTTGCGGTGGAGGTCCAGCTGCTTCGTTGCCATTGTTGAAGTCATCTGCAACCTGCTCACCTTCTACAAGCGGCTTAGAATTTTCATCCACATCCACATCCATATCTGCCTCGGTGGGTCTCGCATTCTCATACTCATCATCAGACTCACCTTCAAGGGTCCATGTCTTGCCAGATTTCGGTTCATCAGCATTCGGTTCACCCTGCTTATCTCCATCAGCTTCTTCCTTCAATCTTCGTGACTTTTGCCACTCCTGAACTCTTCGCCTTCGTTTTTCCATTTCTTCATCCAACCTCCTTTGTTCATTTTCCAGCTCCTCTTCACGAGTTGGTTTTGTTTCATTCTTATCAGTTGCATCTTCTTCACTCTTCTCTCGTGGACTCTCTTCACTGTGATCTCTCTGCTTATTTATCCTGCTATTGCTTTCATGAGCTCTATGGTCGTCATCGTCTCTCCTACGTCGCTTCCTACCATGGTCAGTAGAGTCATCATCACTATAATCGCTAACTTCCCGTCGCTTCCTTCTATCCTTCTCTCTTTCCTTTTCCCTCTCTCTCTCACGTTCTCTCATCTCCCTCTCTCTGTCTCTGTCCCTCTCACGATCTTCTTTGATGCGTTCTCTCTTCTCTCTCTCTTTTTCCCTTGCCCTTTCCCTCTTCTCCTTGTCTCTCTCCTTCTCCTTGTCCCTCTCCTTCTCCTTGTCCCTCTCCTTCTCCTTGTCCCTCGTTCTCTCCCTCCCCCTATCTTCTTTGTCCTTGTCCCTTTCCTTATCTCTATCCTTCCTCCTAACCCTAGCTCTATCTCTTTCATCATCCCGACTCCGTGTTTTATCCTTGTCCCTTCGAAGTTTTTCCTTCTCCCTCTCATACTGCTGCTCTTCAGAATCGACACTCTTTTCCCTCTCAGAACGTCGACTCTCACGATCTCTCTTCTCCTTGTCTCTGCCTCTATCACCGTTTCTCTCTTTATCCCTTTCCCTATCGCGGTCCCGATGACTCTTCTTTGAGTTCTCCAAATCGTCTCTCCTAGATTTACTTTTCCCCTCCTCCATTGCTTACTGCTACAAAGCTTACAAAAGAAACGAAAGAAAACAAAAGGAAAATGAAAGGCAAGTGTCAGAATAGCCCCAACTAGTGATTAACCGGGGCGGCGCTAAGGCTTCGAGACTACGATACGGCCTCCCTTCACTGATCGAATGTGCCTGATTGATGCGGTATTCAATCTATGATGGACCTGATTCAAATCCAACAGCGAATTTAGGGAGGGAAAAGATTGTGAAAGGGGCTTAAACAGCTAGATACAGGAACAGTATGGATCGGAGAAACAACGAAATTAGAAAAGCTAACCAGGTTAACGAGGGCGGGAAGGAAAGAGCAGTGAAAAACCCTAATTCTGTGTGTTGGAGTTGCGTAGTGCAGTCGGACAGGAGGTAAGTATCCGGACTTCCAAACGTTGCGTTGGCAGGTGAGAAGCTGTGGCTCCAACCCCGCCGTTCCGTCCGATCCCGGGAAGCGATTCCCCAGCCCTCCTCCTCGAATCACTAGAAATCCACTCTCCAGCCTCACGTGGGTACTGGACTTTTCATGTCTTTAGGCCCATCCTCAACTTCAGTCTTCGGCCCAACAAATGTATGAACAAACACTAATCACGTAATGTAAATACTATTCGGCCTCAATCCTTTGGGTTGGATTTTATCTTTTAGAAATATATGAACCATAGTAATGATAATAGAATGTTATCGTATAATAAGACAGCGTTTGTAGCTCCCACCACAAGCATCTGTTAACATTAATGTGTATGCATTTGTGTTCCTTAACTTTGAGATTCAAATGAATGCCGTTAACTTTTGAATTTTATCAAAGTTATTCTTTATTATAATTATTGGATAAATTAGTAAAAATTTCAAGATAAAACTTTGTATTTTTTTTATGTTTTGAATTCATCAGTGGGGGTGAGTGATTCAAACGACAGCACATTTTTTAAGTTAAAAAGTTCATTATCCAAGGGTTTGGTAACATTTTCATTAGCAAGTTTTCAAATTCGATAGTTAGCATTCAAACATTTAAATCTTGATCTAGTGATTTCAACTCATTTTGAGTCCGAACCAAAACAGGAACATCAAATCATATTTACTAATTCAAATATGAATTGAAACCCTACACGTTAGAGTTGTATCGATTAAAATCTCAAACTCAGACACATACGCTCAATGAGTCAAGTTCTATCTCAAAGACGTTGCATCTCACATGGTACAGATTAGACTCAACAAACACAACCACCCGTGTTTGAAGATTCCTATCCCTTTAAATTTGGTGTAAAATAGAAGATGAGTACAAAATTATAGGAGGAAACAAAAGATTGTGTTTGGTGACTCTTCTTAACCTTTTAATTTAGTGTCTATATTTGTAAACTTCAAATACCATTGAATGCGTATTAAAACAATTATGAATTTCGGAGAATAAATTATATATTTAAAAAGGAAGTAAAAAAAGAAAAGGAAACACGAAACACAGCTTTTAAAGGTCGCTGAAAGTGAAGTTATTCCAGTTCCGAAATAGAATTAAGAGACATGATTCCAAGAATCAAAATGCACAAAGTTGACCTAATTGCCAGAGCAACCTGCAGCTTCTCTTTATTCCAACACCCAATAACTTTTTATTGAATAGCAAAACAAACCCAATCCTTAATTGGGGTTTTCTGCAAACAGGAGGTATCTGTGTATTGGAAACTGTGGAAGGAAAGCATATAAGAGAGAGAGAGAGAGAGAGAGAGAGAAAGAAACCCTAGTTGTCTATTGTTTCCGACAGGCATGACAGCAAAAACAAAGAAGCAACCAAATTGTGTGTAAATGAAATGGACACTCCAAAACCCTTACTTCTGGGAATATTGAAGAGAAGTGTGGAAGTAAGAAGAGAAAGCAAAGCACCTGGAATGGAAAAGGAGATCAACTAATTCATTCCATCAATGCTCATCTCCTATCTTCACTCACCGCCTCCACATCTTCCTCTTCTTCTTCTTCTTCTTCCTCTTCTTCTTCATTAATTATTACAACATTCCACACAACACCACATATTATATTAAACTAAAAACCCTAATCCCCATTTAATTAAACATTAGAACTGACGAGGCTTTGTGGCATTCCCACTTCCACTTCCACTTCCCCAACCAAACAAATCCCCTGCAAACGGAGGATATCCCGCTATTGTACTGTTGCCCAGGAACCCAACTCCGCCGCCGCTCCCCTCGTTTGCATTCCCACCGCCCTCCCCCATCTGTCCGCCTCCGGTCACTCCCGACGACTGCGACGCCGTCGGTTGAACTTGCACTCCCCCTTCCTCCTCTTCTTCCAGAGGCAACCTTTCAAACACAGCGTTGGAGAATGACGCCGCCATCAAAATCACCGGCCCCGAAGCCACCAAGGGCCCCACCACCGTCCCTCCAACCACCTGCCCTTGTGCCCCGGCTAGGAATATAGACAGTCCACCTGCCTGCGGCGGAGCTGGCGGGGGAAGCACAGTGCCCGTGAGGGAGAGAATCTCGAACCTGCCATGAAGAGTGATGACGCTAGCCGTAGGAGAGGCAGATGGCTGACGGAGCGTGACGTTGGCGACAGTACCAGTGCCGCAGAGGATGCTGAGTCCTCTCCCTCTGCGGCGGGCGTAATTGGAGAGACTATCGACGATATCAGCGGAGGCGGAGACCTCGAGGACATGAGAGCCGAGGACGTTGGGACTATCGCGAGTGAGGATAATGGGAGGTTTGGGCTTGTTTTTGGATCCAGGAGGACGGCCACGAGGGCGGCGAAGGGAGGCGTGTTGGTTTTGAGAGGGATTAGTAGTATTATTAGTATCGTTATTATCATCACCATCATCGGAGTGATTGGAATGGTTGAATAGATGAGGATGAGGAAATGGAATAGAGGAGGAGGAGGGCGTGTCCAGATGCAGTTCCGGATTCAGAAGTTGATGATGATGATGGTGGTGTTGCACGTAGCGTGAACCCGCTCCTCCTTCTTCGCTGTACCCCGCCATTCTCATCTTCCTACCTCTTCAATTTACTTCTAATTTATACAGCTTCTACCCACCCATCGGATGCAACAACAACCGAATAATTTTGTCAAATCGATTAGGTATCCACTCCCATACACTGGAAGAAGCGATTTCCTGGAGGCGATGGATCCATACAAATACAATATGAGTTACCAAACCTCGGGAAAGGATTTCAATTAAAACGCCTTCCCATCTTTTCCCATCTCCTTGCACGCTCTTCTCCACTGTTCAACAACAGAATAGCTTTGTGAGCTCTAAACTCCCCCCAAAAACATGGCTGCCTTTAATTACGCAACCATCTCTCATCGCTACAGCTATTACTTCAATTTCAATTTCAATTTCAAAACCCTAAAATCATGGTAAAGTAAAATAGGGAAGAAGCATACCTAAATCCAGGACGAATCGAAGAGAGTGAAAAGTGAATGGAACATAATAGTGAAGATGAGGAAGAAGAAAGTGAAGTGGAGAGGTAGATGAGGAAGAACAAAGGGAAAGGCGGCATTCACCCAGCTCTAGCCTTGGGGTTTGCTATTTTCCATAGAGATATGGAAAAGCAGCTCCCAATTACTATGCCCTTAACCCCACGCTGTTCAAAAAATCAATTAATTTTTACATTTTACCAAATTATTATTAACATTGCCTTGCAAATTGTTATCACTAAAGGTAAATTAATTCATTCGTTTCACTTTCCACCCTCTTTCAATTCAATGATTATGAAGGAGTAAAATTTTTTGAAGAAATTTATAGAGCTGTTTTCGTATGTTTGATCTTGACACGATGAAATCTGTAGATAGAGTTGGGGTTGGATTTGATAGGGGTGCGTTGGTCACGTGAGGTGGGAATTACAAGCGAGAGAGAGTGAGTATTAGTAATACGAGTTGGGTGACAGAGAGAGTTGAGAGCACATGGACAGTGTCGGTACATCGGAACTTGGTCAATTAACCTTATGTAATCAATCTCAATCCATAGCGTTCAATGAATGGAAATGAAAGCCAATTACCCATGTACCTACCAAATTACCCACCAACAAAACCAATGGCGCCCTCCATAATAATAATACTCCAAATGGACATATTTGATCCCATGCATGCAACTGCAACTCTCTCTCAATGTCACGCCCTTACTCTTACTGTTCTTCGCATTTACATTTCACTGCCCCCAGCTTCCACTCGATTATATCCTCATTATTGCCCCCGTTTGGTTTTTTTTATTACATTGGGAGGCCTGGAATTGGGTAGCTGGCTCATGCGCGACACACCCCCAAGGAGGAGGAGACATGCCCATCCACCCCCCTTACGCCAACTTATGCCTACCCATATCCCATCCCACCTCCGCACTCCTTTTTCCTTTCCTCTCTCCCTCGCAAAACTCTCTAAATTTCTAAATACTTGTAACTAAATATCACTATTTGTTGGGAGGTTTGACCAGGCCACTTTTTGATCACCAGAAATATTGTTTGATAATTGGTTGATTCCATAATAATAAAAGTATAAAAGTGGCAGAGGAAGAAATTAAGGGGCCGGCCGTCCATGTTCAGTAATGCGTCCTTAATTATATTATACAGGCAAGAAAGAAAAGAGCGTTGAGAATGTGTAAGCGATGACGCTAATTAATACAAAGGATCGTTTCTTTTCTATTTTGTTTGAGAAATTAAAGGTAGGATAGATTAAAATAATAAAAAGCGGCGAGGAAGGGACCATTTCAAATTTATTTTATGATTGTTTTCATACGTGTAGTGGAGCCACTTAATTAGATTAGGGGGCAGATTAATTATTAATCCATTGTCGTATTCATGCATTACATTAGATTCCCACCACATTCACGTCTTCCTCATCGGGTCGGGTCCAAGTGTACCCAACAAAAAATAAAAAACCCCATCATTGTTTAGCTCATTAACTTATACAAATATTAATAAATTTAACACCCCGAAATGAGAGGCGAAATTACACAAATTTGACACAAAAATGAATGGAATCACAATAAACGAGATTAAGCGAGTCGATTGGCAAGCCGTGTCGGCCGCCCCAAAACTGCCACGCTTCTTCCTTTAGCTTTTGCCGAGCGGCCACGTGAAGATACGTGTGTTTGCATAATCTCCACGCGTACCTCACTAACTGCTACTCTTCCTTTATAGTTAATTGGGAAATATTTTCATTTTCTTCAAATAAAAATTTATATCGTGTGATCATGTAAGAAATCAATGGTTGAATGTGAAATTACAAACTAAATTTGAAGAAAAAATGATGAATTTCAGATGATACCACGTGTCTCTATCATGACCATTCAATTAAGTAAGTAGCTTGATCAGACTGGGACAAAGAGTTGAAAGTTTGACCAAAAGTCATGAAAGTCTGTATGTTAAAATATGTGGTCACAGCAAATTTTGAACAAATTTCGAACAAATTTCATTTCCTTTTTTAGCTCAATCATGGGAAGGTAGATAATTGGAATCTTTGAAAAGCATGGCTATTATTCTGAGAATGGTTTGGATAGATATATATTATTATTATTAATATTATTACGGATAAGGAGAGGAAGAGACGTGTTTAAGAGATAGTTGTGATTAGTGAAGGCGCGTATTGGGTGAGTCGGCAATGGCGACGGTGGCGAGGAAGGGTAAAGTTTGTGTTACAGGGGCTGGAGGGTTTATTGGTTCGTGGGTCGTCAAGCTTCTGCTATCCAGGGAGTATACTGTCCACGGAACTGTCAGGGAACCCAGTAACCACTCCTTTTCTTCTTTCCGTTCGCTTATATTGCTATCTCGATTCACGTTTTGAACTTAATCCTTATGCTCCATCTGTCTCCAAATTTGTTGAATCTCCAAATATAGAATTCCCTATTCACATCTGCTTAAACGAATGCGTGTGTGCCCATTTCTATGAACAAAAATATGCCCATTTAGAATTCCGCATTTTTTTGCCCTATACAACGTTTCTACGTTTTATTTTCAGCTGTATCATGTTGGTCTGAGTCGTAGTCACAGCTACTCATCTATTAATGGTTCAATGTAGAATAGAAGACTCTGGGAAGAACTCAACAAAATTGATATCGACTTAATTTTTGAGGTATAAGGGTGCTCTTAGAGTTCTTCTGCAGGTTTAGGTAGCATTAAGGAAGGTTTTTTCATTGGTTTACCAGTACATTTCTATTGGAGGCCATAGTTGGACATGGACCATGGAAATTGATTATTCCCACTTATAATGAGCTGAGCCCTTTGCTGTTTGGAGTGATGAGGTTGTGAAATTCATTATGGTGTTTGGTTTGGATGAAGCTCTTTCCTGTGTCTGTTTATCATTGACAAGAGATGTGGGGATGGAAGCTTGGGGAAAAAGGGGCGTTTTTATTCGTTTTCATGAGTAGATATTAACTTACATGATGCGAGGAAAACGAAGAATGGGTTCACTTTGAATACTTAAATGACTAAAGATTCCTAAATTTTAAATAGGTCAATGTGTGATCCAGAGTCAGTTCTTGATGCATTGCATTCATCTTAAACTCAAACTTTTTGTTGCTTCACTGAGAGTTCTTAAAATAATGTGCAGGTGACGCCAAGTATGATCACTTGAGAAAACTCGAGAAAGGGACCGACAATTTGAAACTGTTTAAGGCTGATTTACTGGACTATGAATCTATGCGTTCTGCGATCGCAGGATGTGATGGAGTTTTCCATGTTGCCAGTCCAGTTCCTCACACAACTTCATCAAACCCTGAGGTATAAATGCTTCATCATGTATTTTCTTTTGTTTTCTTTCTTTTCTCTAAAAACTATATACGTGTAGAAGCAATCGATCCACACCGATTCATAAAGGAAAAGTTCTTAAAAGAAATATATTTGGATAGGAAACATCTCACTGCCAAAAAAGTTGTTGAAGAGGGAGGGGCAAACAAGCTCTTCAATTTTCAAATTTGTTCTTATAAAAAAAATGTTAGTTAAGAGATACAGATAGCTCAAGGAAAATTGATTTTGACAGCTCACTTCAGTTATGTTGTTTATAGTGTGCTTGCTCTTTGTCTCATATTTTCGTTAATATTACTCTCAGACAGAAGTGATTGAACCTGCTGTAAAGGGCACACGTAATGTGCTTGAAGCATGTGTGGATGCAAAAGTTAAGCGAGTTGTTGTAGTATCCTCTGTTGCTGCAGTGTTTTGCAATCCCAGCTGGCCTCAAGGTCGGGTAATAGATGAAAGTTGTTGGTCTGACAAGGAGTACTGCAAAGCTACCAAGGTGCTTACACAGAAAATACATTTATGGTTTAAGATATTGGATGTGTAGGTTATACCAAGATTTTGTATGGCTATGTATATTCATCATTACTCTTCAAAATTGCACCAGAACTGGTATTTTCTGGCAAAAACAGAAGCTGAAAGTGAAGCCTTGGAGTTTGGGAGAAGACGTGGGCTTGACGTTGTGACTATTTGTCCTACCCTCGTTATCGGGCCGATTTTGCAGCCAACAGTCAACGCCAGCAGCATGGTTCTTCTCAGAATTCTTAAAGGTACTAGTTTGTGACGCTTGCGTGCTTGAGCTCAATATGCATTTGATATCACCTCTTTAGTTCAGGAAGTCATCTTTGAGAAAAGAAAATATTTCAAACCGTGGGGCAAGGTGTATGGAAGGCCAGAATGTAAAATTGAAGGGCATCTGGTGACATTATCAATAGTGGGGATTAGCTGCGATATTGTATGAAAATACAAACTTGATATTGTGCAACAGCCTAGTTTGCAGTCTCACGATTTGTGGAACGGGTCTTTGCAGAAGGACTCGAGACGTTGGAAAACAGGCCACGAATGTTGGTAGACGTACGAGACGTAGCAGAGGCATTAGTTGTTTTATATGAGAAGGGGGAGGCAGAAGGAAGGTACATTTGTACATCGCATACAATGGAGACAAGGGAGCTGGTGGATGCATTGAAGAAGAAGTACCCTGATTATAGCTATCCAAAGACGTAAGTAAGTTTTATGGTATGCGAGTTAAAAACGAAATGTGGCTCCTTAACAAAAAGGGTATGACACTGGCAGGTTGAGTGAAGGGAATGAAAAGGCGGTAAGTCTGAGCTCGGAGAAGCTGCAAGGGTTGGGTTGGAAGTGTCGGGCGCTGGAGGAGACGCTTGCCGATGCTGTGAAGAGCTTCAAAGACGCCGGTATGTTGGAGTGAAGGTGACCAATCGGTCTCTTCTGGTCTCATTAGTGCATTGTTTATTATCATCTCTCACTCTGTTACTCGAGCTGAAAACACTCCAAGCCACGACTTAGTTTCTAAACCAATAAAATACCAACCATGTATTCAGTAATATTCTTATTATACTGCTGCTATAAAATTTAGGTGAAGTTTCAATAATGTGTTTATTGGTTAAAAGAAAATGAATCTAACCTACTTTGATGTAATTGAATTGAGCTACTAAAGAGGAAGGTTGTCGTGGTTAACCATACAGGTTCTAACTATAGATTTTTTAAATCATTTTTTCATATTACACACGTCCATTTTCTGTCTTGATTCGTCCTCCAATCACATCGATATTTTTATTTAAATAAAGCTAGATTTATAATTACTTTTATGAATTTTTAGAAAAATTGTGATTATCTTGTAAGTTTTTATTTTAAAATTTTATTTAAATAAAGTTAGATTTACAATTACCTTTTGAGTTTTTAGAAAAAGTGAGGGTATTTCTTCTATGGTATTCTTCCAGTGGTACGACTTGAAGGAAGCAAAGCCCAGCCCAGTTCCGCGTCTACTGCTTCCATTTTTGCGCTTCCCGCCTCGCCTGAGCTGAGCGACGCTTAGTAACTTTGTTTTGTTATTCCGATAGGCTCGCCGGAGCTTTCTTTCTCTATTACTTCCTCATCGTCGGATACTTTGTTCGTTGTATATCCATGGCGGCTAATTTACCGGTCCAAGATCCCCCCACGGATGCTTCTGCGAAACAACCTACGCTTTCGCCATCCCCCGCTCCTGTAACCCCTCCCGTTAAGATCGACACTCCTCACTCCGACTCTGGTAAGACCCCCTCCGTCGTTCCCGCTCCCACCCCTCTATCATAATAATGTTAGGGGCCTGCCGTCCATGATCAAAAAGAAATTCAAAAAAAAAAAAAAATACACATTTAAGAATGAAAAATAGAAATTGAAGTGAGAATACAAATTTAAGAATAAAAAATAGAAAAAAAAAATACAAATTTAAAAATGAAAAATAAAAACAAAAAAATACAAATTTAAGAATAAAAATAGAATAGAGATGGAAGGTTAAGTTTTGTTGGTATTTACAACCTTTAAATAGAATACAAAATACTAAATAATACCTACGAAAATATAAACTAATAAATCGTAAGAATAAAATAAAATATATTATTATTAAAATTTAATATCTAAGATATATTATTTACTAATATTATATATGCCATAATTAATTTAAACTAGAAATAAGCATCACAAGAGAAAGTTGGAAACATCATAAAATTGAATTAATTAAAAAAAGACGTTATTGACAAACAGAAGAAAAAACGATGAATTTTAAATGATACCATGTGTCTTTATCATGACCATTCAATTAAGTAACGGTAGCTTGATCAAATTTGGTAAGAGAGTTGAAAGTGTGACCAAAAGTCGTGAAAGTCCAAACTCCAGTCTGTACGTTAAAACATGAGTCATAAAAAATTCTAAACAAAATTCATTTCCCTATTATAGCTCTCAATTATGAAAGGTAGATGATTGGAATCTTTGTAAAGCATGGCTATTATCTTGAGGATGGTTTTGATATATATATATATATATATTATTACGGACAAGGATAGGAAGAGACGTGTTTGAGAGATAGTTGTAATTAGCGAAGGCGTATTGGGTAAGTCGGCAATGGCGACGGTGACGAGGAAGGGTAAAATTTGTGTTACAGGGGCTGGAGGGTTTATTGGTTCGTGGGTCGTCAAGCTTCTGGTATCCAGGGATTATATTGTCCACGGAACTGTCAGGGAACCCGGTATTCACACCTTTTCTTCTTTCCATTCGCTCATATTGCTATCACGTTTTGCACTTCATCCATATGCTCCATCTATCTCCAAATTTGTTGAATATCCAAATATACAATTCCCTATCCACATCTGCTTAAACGAATGCGTGTGTGCCCATTTCTATGAACTACAATTTCGCATCTTTTGCTATATACGACGTTTCTACGTTTTATTTTCAACGGTAACATTTTGGTCTATCTGTTAATGCTTAATGTAGAAGACAAAACTGTTGGAAGAACTCAACAAAATTGATCTCGACTTAATTTTTGAGGTGTAAGGGTGCTCTTCTTAGAGTTCTTCTGCAGGTTTAGGTAGCATTAAGGAACGTTTTTTCATTGATTTAGAACTATATTGTCAATATTGGAGTGATGAGGTTGTGAAATTCATTATGGTGTTTGGTTTGGATGAAGCCCTTTCCTGTGTGTCTGTTTATAATTGACAAGAGATGTGGGGATGGAAGCTTGGGGAAAAAGGGGCGTTTTTATTCGTTTTCATAAGTAGATATTAACTTACATGATGCGAGGAAAACGAAGAATGGGTTCACTTTGAATACTTAAATGACTAAAGATTCCTAAATTTTAAATAGGTCAATGTGTGATCCAGAGTCGGTTCTTGATGCATTGCATTCATCTTAAACTCAAACTTTTTGTTGCTTCACTGAGAGTTCTTAAAATAATGTGCAGGTGACGCCAAGTATGATCACTTGAGAAAACTCGAGAAAGGGACCGACAATTTGAAACTGTTTAAGGCTGATTTACTGGACTATGAATCTATGCGCTCTGCGATCGCAGGATGTGATGGAGTTTTCCATGTTGCCAGTCCAGTTCCTCACACAACTTCATCAAACCCTGAGGTATAAATGCTTCATCATGTATTTTCTTTTGTTTTCTTTTTTTTTCTCTAAAAAATATTTACGTGTAGAAGCAATCGATCCACACCGATTCATAAAGGAAAAGTTCTTAAAAGAAATATATTTGGATAGGAAACATCTCACTGCCAAAAAAGTTGTTGAAGAGGGAGGGGCAAACAAGCTCTTCAATGTTCAAATTTGTTCTTATAAAAAAAATGTTAGTTAAGAGATACAGATAGCTCAAGGAAAATTGATTTTGACAGCTCACTTCAGTTATGTTGTTTATAGTGTGCTTGCTCTTTGTCTCATATTTTCGTTAATATTACTCTCAGACAGAAGTGATTGAACCTGCTGTAAAGGGCACACGTAATGTGCTTGAAGCATGTGTGGATGCAAAAGTTAAGCGAGTTGTTGTAGTATCCTCTGTTGCTGCAGTGTTTTGCAATCCCAGCTGGCCTCAAGGTCGGGTAATAGATGAAAGTTGTTGGTCTGACAAGGAGTACTGCAAAGCTACCAAGGTGCTTACACAGAAAATACATTTATGGTTTAAGATATTGGATGTGTAGGTTATACCAAGATTTTGTATGGCTATGTATATTCATCATTACTCTTCAAAATTGCACCAGAACTGGTATTTTCTGGCAAAAACAGAAGCTGAAAGTGAAGCCTTGGAGTTTGGGAGAAGACGTGGGCTTGACGTTGTGACTATTTGTCCTTCCCTCGTTATCGGGCCGATTTTGCAGCCAACAGTCAACGCCAGCAGCATGGTTCTTCTCAGAATTCTTAAAGGTACTAGTTTGTGACGCGTGCGTGCTTGAGCTCAATGTGCATTTGATATCACCTCTTTAGTTCAGGAAGTCATCTTTGAGAAAAGAAAATATTTCAAACTGTGGGGCAAGGTGTATGGAAGGCCAGAATGTAAAATTAAAGGGTATCTGGTGACGTTATCAATAGTGGGCATTAGCTGCGATATTGTACGAAAATACAAACTTGATATTGTGCGACAGCCTAGTTTGTAGTCTCACAATATGTGGAATGGGTTTTTGCAGAAGAGTGCGAGACGATGGAAAACAATCCACATATGTTGGTAGACGTACGAGACGTAGCAGAGGCGTTGATTCTTTTATATGAGAAGGGGGAGGCAGAAGGAAGATACATTTGTACATCGCATACAAAAGAGACGAGGGAGCTGGTGGATGCATTGAAGAAGAAGTACCCTGATTATAGCTATCCAAAGACGTAAGTAAGTTTTATGGTATGCGAGTTAAAAACGAAATGAGGCTCCTTAACAAAAAGGGTACGACCCTGGCAGGTTGAGTGAAGGGAATGGGAAGGCGCTAAGTCTGAGCTCGGAGAAGCTGCAAGGGTTGGATTGGAAGTGTCGGGCGCTGGAGGAGACGCTTACCGATGCTGTGGAGAGTTTCAAAGACACCGGGATGTTGGAGTGAAGTGACCAATCAGTCCCTTGTGGTCTCATTACTGCATTGTTTATTACCATCTCTCTCTCGGTTCTTCACTCTGCTATTCACAGCTGAAAGCACTCGAAACTACAAGCCACGGCTTAGTTTCTAAACCAATAAAATACCAACCATGTATTCAATAATATTCTCAGTATGCTGCTGCTATAAAATTTTGGTGAAGTTTCAACGTTGTTTTTATTGGTTCAAATGTTCCTTAGAAAATCAAGTAGGAGGAACTTTGATGGAATTGAATTGAACCATTAAAGAGTGAGGTTCATGTGGTTGATCACTTTTTAACCATCGTACTGTCATCAGACACCATCGTGTGGTCAGATTGGTGAGATGTGTGTTTCTATTTGGCTGTTTATGATTATTTTGTTAGTTTTTATTTAAATAAAGCTACATTTACAATTATGTTTTTTGAATTTTTAGACAAATGAAAGAGGGTATTTATTTTTTCTATGGTATTCTTCCAATGGTACGACTTGAAGGAAGCAAAGCCCAGCCCAGTTCCATATATTTGTTCCATATATTTGTTCCATATATTTGGGCTCCCGCGTCCACTGCTTCCATTTTTTGCTTTCCCGCCTCGCCTGAGCCGAGCGATGGTCAGCAACTTCGTTTTGTTATTCCGATAGGCTCGCCGGAGCTTCCTTTCTCTATTACTTCCTCATCGTCGGACGCTTTGTTCTTTGTATATATCCATGGCGGCTAATTTACCGGTCCAAGATCCCCCCACGGATGCTTCTGCCAAACAACCTACGCCTTCGCCCTCCCCCACTCTTGTAACCCCTCCCGTTAAGATCGACACTCCTTCATCTGACTCCGGCAAGACCCCCGCCGCCGTTCCCGCTTCCACCCCTCGCCCTGAGGACCTCCCTCAATCCGCCTCTCCCGATCCAGTTCATCTTCCCAGCTACTCCAGTAAGTATAAATTCCTTCCTGCATTCTCTGCAACCCCTTCAGCTTCTTGTTTTTCGATCTTAACTCTTAGTTTTGTTATTTTGCTCCCTTATTTTCTCGCCCA